CTCTCCCCTTTGGGAAGTGAGGGTGGGTTCCTCACAGCAGCTCCCTTAATGTCTCAACCAGCTTCTCCAAAGGAGGCCGTGGTTGGGGTCCCTGTGGTCAGAGTTTGTGTTCCCCTGTGGGCAGAGGGGACGAGAGCTGTGCCCGCTGGAGCTGCTGGCTGGGATCTAGTCAGAATCAGCATTGGAAAGCCCCTTCCTTTCCCACTGTCTTTGCTCTCCTTCCCCAGGCGCTGTCCTGCCTCCACACAGCCTCTCCCACATCCCAGTGCCCTTTCCGGGATCCGAGTCAGCGTGGGCCCAATGTCACTGAGGAAACATCCCAGGAATTCCTGTTCTTTCCCTCTGGATGGCCCTCTTGTCTGCGGGAAGGGTGGGAGGAGCTATTGTGTATTTCTGCCTCAGCTTTAAGGATAAAACTCCCCTCCAAAGGCCAGGTGGCTTCTCTCCTGACAGCCACTTGTCAGACACACTGAGCCCTGGATTCCCACTCCGGTGGTCTGGCATGGTGCTTCAAAGAGCTGACTTGGATATGGCAACATGATGGGGAAAGGAAGGTTGAGGTGGCATCTAGAAGCACAGCACGGAGTGGAGTTTTGACCCTCGCCTTCCCGCTGTTCCCAGCATTTGAATGACTGTATTAAGGGAAGTGAATATACGTATTGGGGGGCGGGGAGAAGTTAGAGAAATAAACGCAGACAGCCTCAGATGTGGAGTGTGTTGTCTTTTTTCCTTTTGGATTCCTAGTGGGCTGTGGCATCGGTTCTATGACTTTTATAGTAAAAATGTTTGAATACTCTGATTGTAAAATTCAGTTTAATCTAAACTGACACACACAGCACTAGAATGCAAGTCCCCACTAGACTGTAAACTCCCTGAGAGCAGACCTAGTGTGCTGGAGCCCATGCCTGGGAGAGGTGATTGCATCTCTTCCCAACTCCACGTCTTGGTAGCTTGAAAATAGCCATGGTGGGAGCACCTACACCAAACACTGTGAGAAGGAATCCACCTGCAGAGCAGTGCTGCCTCCTGCAGCGAGCTGAAGCATAAATGGTTGCCACCACTGGACAAGTCTCTCCCAGCTTCTAGCACGGCGTAGGCACTCAGATATTTGGATGAACAACCTCCAAATGAAGGAAGAGGGAAGCAACATCCTCTAAATTCAGTTCAATGGGAGTTCAACAAATACCCTGTCCTGGTGGACATGCGTTTTCTGGGGCAGCTGCCATCTGAACTTCCACCTGGGGACCCTGCCAATTCTTGTTTCTCAGGTCCTGGCCATCAGGGTACAGGCATGTTCCTGTGGGGGGTGAGTCTATGAGGACCCTTCAGGGTTTCTTCTAGGGATGGCATGTGTCAGCATTGCCTAAAAGTGGTGGTGACACGAGTTCGGCGTGCAGCCGAAGGGCAACATAGATCCTGACTGGAACTGCTCCTGGACCACAACTAGGACATTGTCAGGGGTTCGGCCCATGCCCATGCCTGATTCTTCAGCCCTCCTTTCAATCTGCGATCTCCCAGCGCCCCTCCTCTAAGCAACTCTCCTGATTAAGCTGACTCAGTCTTTTTGTGTGGTGTGCAACCAAGAACCCCGAGGGTTGGTTCAGGCCCTCTGAGGCTGAGGCCGAGATGGGACTCCATGTGTGAGAGATCTACAGGGGAGCGTCTGTGAAGTTAAACTGCGGGGAGGAGGAGGTGCAGGGGGAGCCTTCAGAATGTGGTGTGGGGCTGAGTGCAGCCACTGGAGGCTGGTCACCAGCTACACTTCTCATAGCCCCTCTCCTGAGGCAAACCTTCAGGCCCGCCACGAACCTCTGGTACAGGGTATAACATGAAAATGGATCTCTGCCCTTGCAATGTTCACAATTATGAGAGAGAAAGAGAAACAACTGTATCACTGCAGTAGTTTGAAAGTGCTAGGGCAGGCCGGGCGCAGTGGCTCAAGCCTATAATCCCAGCACTTTGGGAGGCCGAGACGGGTGGATCACGAGGTCAGGAGATCGAGACCATCCTGGCTAACACGGTGAAACCCCGTCTCTACTAAAAAATACAAAAAAAAAAAAACTAGCCGGGCGAGGTGGCGGGCGCCTGTAGTCCCAGCTACTCGGGAGGCTGAGGCAGGAGAATGGCGTAAACCCGGGAGGCGGAGCTTGCAGTGAGCTGAGATCCGGCCACTGTACTCCAGCCTGGGCGATAGAGTGAGACTCCGTCTCAAAAAAAAAAAAAAGAAAGTGCTAGGGCAAAGCCCGGCACCAGTGGGAGCACAGAGGCAGATGTACAGGGAGACTTCCTGGAGGAGGTGAATCCTGGGAGCCTGGAGGCTCTTGGCATTTTGCCCTCTTTCTTCTCTCCAGCCTTCCATCCCAACCCAACCTCACAAAGAGATCTGGCCACTTCTTTCTTAGCCTCATCCTTAGATCTGCAATCTGCAGAGATGATGAAAATGTAGAGAACTGAGGATACACATAGGGGAAGCGTGGGACAGAGAAATTTAACAAAAAATTTTTTAGAGACAGGGTCTCCCTCTGCTGCCCAGGCTGGAGTTCAGTGATGCAATCATAGCTCACTGCAGCCTCGACATCCCAGGCTCAATTGATCCTTCTGCCTCAGCCTCCCAAGTAGCTTGGCCAGCATTCCCCAACCTTTTTGGCACCAGGGACCAGTTTTATGGTAGAGAATTTTTTCAGATCTGGGGGCGGGGTGGGATGGTTTCAGGATGAAACTGTTACAGTCTAAAGCCTCATTCTGTTCAGATCATCAGGCATTAGATTCTCATAAGGAGCACATAAACTAGAAGCTTTGCATGAGTAGGTCACAATAGGGTTCATGCCCCTATGGAAAATCTAATGCTGCCACTGATCTGACAGGAGGCGGAGCTCAGGCGGTAATGCTTGCTCACCTCCTGCTGTGTGCCCGTTCCTAACAGGCCATGGACAGGTACCCGTCCGCGGCCTGGGGATTGGTGACCCCTAGCTTGGACTGCAGGCAACTGCCACCATATACCTGGCTAATTAAAAAAACGTTGTAGAGATGGGGGGTCTCACTGTGTTGCCCTGGCTAGTTATGAACTCCTGGACTTAAGCAATCCTCCCTCCTCAGCCTCTCAAAGTGTTAGGATTCCAGGCATGAGCCACTGCGCCCAGATCAGAACTTTTATTCAGCATCTAGTAGGAATTTTATGGAAGTAGGAAGTTCCCCACTCCACCACCTGCTGTATGAGTCTCAAGTGAGCAAGTTGTGGCTTAAGGAGGTGACCTGACCTGCCCAAGTGCACATACAATGAGAAGCAGAGCAGCCTTCCAGTGCAGGTCTGCCTCCGCCCCAGGCTTCCCCAAACCCCCAAGGCAAGGGGGTCTCAGGTGCAGCCAGTGAGTGGCACAGGGCCAGTGCAGAGGGGACTTGACAATGGGAAGGAAGATCTTACACTTTTTCCTGGACTATTCTTTCTAAACCACCCTATTGTAATGCATCAGTTCTGTTCACCACATCTCTGTGAGGTAGGCAGAGGAGAAATGAGGCTTAAAGAGAAATTCCCGCCTAAGCCGGTAATTGGTAGGGCCTGGCTGGTGGGTCTAAGATAGCCCCTTACCACTGCGTGTGGGTTCTGCCTCCCAACCTCAGGGTCCTCTTTGCAGCTGGGGTGAGGTGTAAGTAATCACAGCCCTGGGTGTCTGAGAAGAAAGGATCATAGGAAAAGCAGGGACACAGCAGGAAAGTGAGCTCCTTGGGCCTCAGATTCCCCCACCCTGCAGCGGGAGAAGCATTTTCCTCCCACTTGACAGAGGACCTTTGACCAAGCTCAGAAAAGTCCCAGCTGGTGGGGGCAGGGAGCGGGGCTTGTTGAATGGAAGAAGTGCTTTTCCTTTTTAGAGAGGCTGCGTGATTCCACTCCCCTTTCTCTGCCAAGCTTTATCTTTGCTTAAGAATTCACACAACCCTCCAGGGGCCCTGCTACAGCTGCTGCTCCTCCTGTCTTCATTGATAGGTAAGAAATGTGCCTGATTTAAACTGATTTAAACTGGCCATGTTTTAATAAGCATTTTGTCCAAACAGGGAGCTGCAGGAATCGGGGGGCTGAAGCGGGGCTGAGCCTCCCACTGGTGACTTCTCTTTGCCCAAATGAGGCCAAGGGAGAAGCGGCAGGGCCAGCAAGGGGCTGAAGGCAGGAGAGCGTGGGGAAGGGGATCAGCCTTCGCCACCCCACCTCAACCTCTCCCCAACTTCCCCCAACCTCCCTCCTGCCCAGGACCAGTTTCTAAAGATGAGTGAATTCCAGTTTCAAAAAAGGAATGGCAGGCAAAGAGTGTCTTGGTCGTGAAAAAGGACAACCAGGAAAACAAATTAAGTTGATCACATGTTGAGCCCCTGCCTTGATGCTAATGAGTGCCCTGGCACAGGCGGTCGGGCTGCATGGCAGGCCCTGACCTCCGGGATTCACAGCTGAGCAAACCACAGCAACAGGGACAGAAACCAAGGGGGCAGGACATGCACCCCATCGGCCTGGTGTGGTGTGGAGATGGCTTCGAAAGCAGGTGACATGCTGGGCACAGTGGCACTTTGAGAGGCCACGGTGGGAAGACTGCTTGAGCTCAGGAGTTCGAGACCAGGTTGGGCAAAATGGCAAGACCTGTTTCTATTTAAAAAAAGAAGAAGGCTGGGCGCGATGGCTGACGTCTGCAGTCCCAGCACTTTGGGAGGCTGAGGTGCGCGGATCACCTGAAGTCAGGAGTTGGAGACCAGTCTGGCCAACATAGTGAAACCCTATCTCTACTGAAAATACAAAAATATTCGCCAGGCGTGGTGGCGGGCGACTGTAGTCCCAGCTGCTCAGGAGGCTGAGGCTGAACTCGGGAGGCGGAGCTTGCAGTGAGCCCAGATAGCACCACTGCACTCCAGCCTGGGCGACAGAGGGAGACTCCGTCTCAAAAAAAAAAAAAAAGAAAAGAAAGGGAGGGAGGAAAGTAGAAAGAAAAGAGGAAGGAAGTGAGGGAGGGAAAGAAAGAAGAAAGGAAGGAAAGGGACATTTGACCAAGGTTTTGAGGGCTGAGTAGGGGTTTGAGAGGTAGAGGGGATTGGGAGGGTGCATGCTGAGTGAGAAAAGGTGCTGGGAGATGGGTAACAGCAGTGTGTGTGGAGAAACTCAGTTGTGGCTGAAGAATAGGGTCCAGGGGTGGAGGAGAAGGAAAGTGGCTGGACACAGAGGTGTGTTGTGTGTAGGGTCGGCATGAAGAGGAGCGGATAGGGCAAAGCTAGAAGGGTTGGGCAAGGGGAAATGGGATTGGAGACGCGACTGGCGCTGACCCAAGACAGGACAGATAGGGTGACCAGAGTGGAGGATTAGCCAAGCCTTGGCACAGACCCAAGCGGGTGGAGGCCCCGGGCAACACCAGTCACCACGAGGGCCTCTCCCAAGGGCTCTGTCCTCCCACGGGGATTGGAGGTGGGTAAGGGAGACCGGGCGGGGTGGAGGATGAGGCCAGGCAGCTGCGGAGAGAGAAAGTCCCACCCCTGCGGGCGTTCCTTGCCGGCCGGCCGACCTCGCAGGCTTGGGCCTGGGCGGGCACCGACGGAGCGGCCCTGGGTGCAGCCTCCCGGCGCCCGCGAAGACAGGTAGGGAGGCGGACGGACTGGAAGCCCGCGGGCGACCAGAGGCGGGGGCGGCGCACCCCGGGGCTTCTGTAGGAATTTGCTTGCCTGGCTCACGGCGACTGGAATGTCGGAGAAAGTGGGGGTCCGCAAAGGAGACCCCGCCCCGGCTCGCTCTCCCGAGGTGGGCGCACGGTCATCGCGCGGCACCGCGTGCCTCCGGCCGGGAGGGAAGGAAATGCCGGGAGCCGGGGAGCTGGTGCCGGGCGGTCCCGGCGCCCACCCTCCGCCCGATGGGACCTTCCTTCCTTCATGCGGACGCCGCTCCGGGTGCGTGGTGAAGGCGAGGCCCTGGAGACTGCGCGCCCCTCCCGGGAGGTGCCACTGGGCCGCGGGCCTGGAGGGTCCGGGAGCCCCTGCGGCTGCCGGCACCTGCGCGGCCATCCTGGGCCTCCCGTGGGAACCGCGCCTCGCCGCCTCGGGGGTGCGCGGCAAGTTCCTGGGGTGGGGACGCGGGGTGCCTAGTCAGGGCGGGACCGATGCAGAGGAGGGCCGTGCGCGAGGGCCACGGGGACGGGCGTCTGCGGACTGCGGCGGTCCCCAAGTCGGCTGGGGACCGTGCAGGGGGAGGCTCGGTCGGCGGCCACCCGCCTTCCCGCCCTCTGCGCCCTTGTGTGCTGGCCGCCGCCTGCGGCCCTAGCCCAAGGCAGACGCGTTCCCCAGGAACATCACGTTGAGGGCGCCCACCCTGCCTGCCCGGGACCACCTGGCCCTTGCCCTCGGGCGGCAGGAGAGGTCGAGGTTCCACGGCCCTCGGAGCAGCTCCGTGACCAGACCCCGGACTGGTCTTGGAGTCGAAGGGGTTGTTTGCCACCAAATGAACCGAAAAAACTGAACTTTTCAGACTTTGGAATGGCAGATACGGGCTTGGAGTTCAGTGCAATTGCAGCGGAGGCGGTGGTGTTCTGAGAAATTACAAGTAAAATTCTTCTTTCCCCCGTATTTTCCTCAGCCTCGCCCGCCCTAGCAGGCCTAGCCTAGCCCTAGCAGGGGGCTCCTGCTCTGGGAACTGCCCCCGACAGAGCAGAGGCAGGGCCCTGGCAGCAACTCCCCTCCCTCACCCTCCAACCCCAGGAATCTCGAACTTGACCACAAGAATAATGACTCAATGACTCACTGTGCCAAATTAACGAGTGTGTACATTGTTCAATGTGCCAGGTTACATTTCTGCTGAGCTTGGCTTCTGTATGCTGTGTTTTATCCTTGTAAGCAGAAGTCATTTTATACCTTAAAAAATTAGAACATACAGACTGGACACCTGCACCAAATAGTACACACCAGACTGCACATAGACCCGCCCTGCACACTGCACATGCACATTCCATGCACGCACACATCCAACCACAGACACTCCACACACACTGCACTGCACACTGCCCTGAGCACACACTACACTGTACTGCACACTACACTGCACCTTCAGGGTGCACATGCTGCACCACACACTGCACCGTACACACGCTGCACCACACACTGCACTGTACACACGCTGCACCACACACTGCACGGCGCACATGCTGCACCACACACTGCACTGTACACACGCTGCACCACACACTGCACGGCGCACACGCTGCACCACACACTGCACGGCGCACACACTGCACTGCATACACACGCTGGTTATGGAGGCTGCTTATGGATCTTCCCTGTGCAGAGAAATGCTGGCCTGGGTTTTAAATGGGATATAATTAACATTTTTAGAACATTTGAGTTTTCAAAGCGTCTTCAGAGACTTGATTTTTTTTTCAGCCTATATTAGGAGTTTTTAAACATCTGATGTAATAGCTTTTTTAAAAGGAACCTTGCTGAATTAAAATAGTGAGTCTAATTACTCGGATTCTGAACTCCTTGTTTTTCAACCACACAGAAGTATTTTTAATTGCGCTCTCTTTTTTTATCCCTCTGGAACCCTGAAACAAGTTGTTCTTGAACTTCTGCCAGTTGCGGATGGGCCGTTCGTTTCTCGCTCACACGTTGAGCTGTCCGGCGGGGCGCCCGCACGCTGTGTTCTCTGCGGTGCACCGAGGCGCGCCCGGCGGTCCCGTTGCGGGTGTCCTGGTCACTTGTGGGCCACAGGGAGCGACGCGCCCACATACTCGCGCCCGCACCCAGGACAGCTGCTGGAGCCCCGGGCCGCTCTAACCCGCTGCGTCTCCTGCAGGCTGAGATGCGGCTGCTCCTGCTCCTGCCGCTGCTGCTGGCTCCAGCGCCCGGGTCCTCGGTGAGTGCGGCCCTGCCCGGTCCCCGGGAAGACCCTGCAGGGGAGGCGGGGACGGGGACGCGCAGACCCGCAGGCAGCGTCCCCAGAAAAGGGACGATGGGCTGGGATGAGGCGAGCCCGCGCCGCTGAGCTCCCTCAGAAAGGGCTGGGCCCTTGAAGCCGGCTGGCCAGGGTGCTCAGAACGGCCCGTCAGGCTGCAGGGCGCAGTTTGTAGGAATGGCACCTTCTCAGGGCTTCCCTCCTTCAGAAGGTGGTGGGAGCACTCCATGGAGTCCCCGCCAGTGCTGCAGAACCCCCTCCCCCAGGTGGTTTTCCAAGGTGGAAGGACAGGTGGGGGCAATGCTGGAACCAGTCAAGGTGCAGGGCTGGGTGGCCCATCCCACCAGACACCTGTCTTCTGCCTGGAGCCACAGTTTCCCCTAAGCTGGGGTGTTTGGGCCTAGAGGTTTGGGGTGCCAGTCATTTGCTTTCCCCTTGGGGTAGCACCTAGGGCAGGGCTGTCCTATGGAACCTTCTGAGATGGCGGAAATGTCCTGTTTCTCTGCTGTCCAATAGGTAGCCCCTCGGTCCATTGAACACTTGAAAGTGGGTGAAGTGAGTTTTAATTTTACTTGACTTTAATTAAATTTATTTTTAAATTTTTAAAATACTTGGCCGGGCGCGGTGGCTCAAGCCTGTAATCCCAGCACTTTGGGAGGCCGAGACGGGCGGATCACGAGGTCAGGAGATCGAGACCATCCTGGTGAACACGGTGAAACCCCGTCTCTACTAAAAAATACAAAAAACTAGCCGGGCGAGGCGGCGGGCGCCTGTAGTCCCAGCTACTCGGGAGGCTGAGGCAGGAGAATGGCGTAAACCCAGGGGGCGGAGCTTGCAGTGAGCTGAGATCCGGCCACTGCACTCCAGCCCGGGCGACAGAGCCAGACTCCGTCTCAACAAAAAAAAAAAAAGAAAAAAAAAATTTTTTTAAATACTTATTTATTTTTGAGACAGAGTCTCACTCTGTCACCTAGGCTGGAGTGTACTGGCATGATTTCTGCTCACTGTAACCTCCACCTCCTGGGTTCAAGCAATTCTTCTGCTTCAGCCTCCCAGGTAGCTGGGACTCCAGGCGTGTGCCACCGCGCCTGGCCATAATTAATTTAAACAGTCACATGCGGCTAGTGACTACCGTATTAGACTGCGAATTAAGACAGTGGACACAGGAAGCTGGCTGGTGGTCAGAGTTGCTGTTTCATTAACAGGGGCCCAAAGACCAGGGCTCTCTGGAGAAGGTCCCTGGGTCTTGAGGATGTACAAGGAATCTTCTAGACCAGAGGCCCCATCTTTGGGGAGGAGAGGGTCTGCAGAGCTGGGTACTGCCCTGGCTCGGTGCCTGGCAGAATAGAAGCCGCAGAGTCAGCTGGGCCCTGTCCTGCCCCAGGAGAAATCTCCCAGGGTGAGCCACAGCCCTGCCCACCCCTGTGTGAGGCAGGTAGGAGGTGAGAGAGGAAGGATCCCTGAGAAAGGACCCAAACTGTTTTCTGCCTTGAGGAGTTCAGGGGGAAATGCCACGTCTGGCGTCTGTGGGTGGAGGCTAAGAAGGACTCCTCTGCAGGGGTGTGTGGGGCAGGCAGGACAGATGGCAGTGGGCACTTCTCCCACTAGAAGTGGGTCCCATAGATGGGACTGGGCACTTCAAGAGCCCTGTGAACCCAACATATGCCACAGCTGGAGCGGAGGGTGGGCCAGAGCTAGCCTTTTTCATGTCCTCTCGACCACCTGCCAGCTACCCGCGGTCCCCTCTGCCACCCCATGAACCTTGCTTCCTAAATGCCACTCTCAGGTCGTTCAGCACGTGCTGGTGGCCCAGCTGCATGAAGGCCAAAGCCCAGGTGGAGGGGGCACCAGGACAGTGTCCAGGCCCCAGGATTAAATCCCAGAGCCACCTTGACAGCTGCATGACCGTAGGCAAATAATCAAGCCTTAGACGGCTCTAATTTGGGGGTAATAATGCCCACCCCAAAGGTTTTCATGCAGATGAAACAAATCAAGGTTTCCAAAGTGCCCTTGGTTCTCTTAAACCTTTTCTCCCTTAAGGCTGCGCTGAGTAGCCTCATCCGGCTGCCGCCGCCTCCTAGTGTGAGTCTCAGATGGGGCTGGGTGCAGCCTGGGCGGATAATTCTTCTCTCCCTGCCGTCTGTGACTCTGCAGGGGTGTGGCCCCGCTCACAGCTCCACTGCCTCCCTCCGTGGCTGGGGCAGGAGCCACCCAGTCCAAGCACCTTCTCTGGATCACCTATGCTGCCAACGGTCAGCCTGAACAGAATGAGCAGATGAATAAAGGCAGTGGCCTGCGTGCTCCTGGGCCTCAGCCTCTGCTCCCACCTGCACGCGGGTGTGCATGCATTCTGTCTCTCACACACACACGCACATTGGGCACTTGATTCCCCTGGAAACAGTGCAGCAGGAAAGGGGACCCCTGAGTGGCTCCAGGTGGGAGTTGAAGGAGGCATGGGCGGGGCGCCTAGAGCAGCATGAGACAGGTGAGGGCAGGCCCCAGGTGAGGCTGGCTGGATCAGCTCATTCCGGCTTCACACCACGTCGGGCAGTTCATGGTTTGGGTAATTACAGAGCAACAGTGTGCTCATGCTGCCTGTGGCTGAAGGTGCTTTCCTTCCTTGGAGAGACAGTGTGGAGTGCGTGGACAGAGCACGGTTCTACAATGGGACGGATGGACTAGGGCTCTTGGCTAGTGGACACCTGCCTCACGGGGGCTGGGCACAGGAGGCAAGAGGGCATTCTGGAAACAGCATGTCTCTTAGGGGGCCCTTGTTCAGACCAGTCCTGCCCCCGCCTTATCCTCATGGCCAGGCGGTGGCTCCATTGCAGGGGTACCCCTCGTTGCCTTGGCCACACCAGTATGTCCAGCCCAGCTCCGGGGAAGGGTGGATTTTGCTGGCTGCTGTGCCAAGGAGCCAAGACAGACATCCAAACAGGCCTTGGTCAGAGGGTAATTGACAACCAGGCCCAGGCCAGCAGCTAAGAAAGCAGCCACCCCTAAAGACGTCTCCTGAATACTTAAAATGTGGGCTGAGGCTGTGCGTGGGGGGGCGGGTGCCAGAATCCCAGCTGGGGCCGCAGGCTGTCTCTGGAACGTCACCCTTCACGCTCAACACTCAGGATCTTCCTTGTGAAACAGAAAGTTGATCCAAGTAAATTTCAGTTTAACTTTCATTGAGAGAACACTTTGATGTTTTGGCTCACCGGTTTCGAAAGCTTAGAGATTTGTGTTCAAGTTAGACTTGAAGGAGTAGATGATTTTACAAAGTGAAAGCTAAGACCTTTCATCCGGCCAGCCCGTCCTTCTTGCTGGTGTGTGTGGTTCGGCAAGCTTAGCGTGGTCTGTGCATGGCTGGTTCTGCCTCAGGGTTCTGGGTTTTGTTATAAGACAAGGATAACTAGATGTTTGGCACCAGAGATGAGTAAACCTCCTTCCTCACCTGAGATCCAGCGAAGCTGCTTAGGGATCACCATGAAAGGAAGAGCCTGCTTTTCTTTTTTTGAGACCAAAGTGCTGGAATTATAGGAGTGAGCCACTGCGCCCAGCCGCTTTTCTATGTGACCACTGAGCTCTTTCTCTGATTTCCTTGAGAGCCTTTTCTGGTGATACCCTAAAAGAAAGTCCCCTTCCAGCAAATGTTTGCATGTACACCGTATGCCTCCTGGCAAAATTGTGAAGTTACATCTAATCCCTGTCCAACCCTGCAGGGAATCATCTAGCGTCTCATTTGATTCCCCCAAGTGGGTGGGGGCACAGCCCCGGCAGGGGAGCAGAGGCCTGTAGTGAGACTGGCCGGCTCCTGTGCCCACTTCTTCCTCTGTGGCTTCCTCTCTCTGCCTCACTTTTCTTATTCATGCAATGGGGTCTGTTGGGTTGTTGTGAGGATGAAATGAGATAATGTGTGTGTGGCATGTGGATTCCTGATGCCAGCTACAAGAGGTCCAGTCTTTCTGGTGGGAAAATGTATCTGCTAGGATTATAATCCTGTGTAGAGTCTCAAATAGCAGTTCTTCAATAAGACAGACATGATTCCTCTCTCATATAAACACCCAGGGGTCAGAAGTCTGGGGCTATTCTGTTGCACAAAATCCTCCAGGCTCTAGAGTCTTTCTATCTTTGCTTCACTGTTTGAAGCCTCTATTTCCAAGTTACCTCACAGTCTAAAAGGCTGCTCCAACTCCAGCCATCACATCTGCTTTCCAGACAGCCTGAAAGAGTACAGGAGGAAGGAGAAAAGGACAAAGGCTCATGCAGCCTCTCTCTTAAGGAGATTACTAGCAGCAGCTGTCCAACACTTGTATTTACATCTTACTAATGAGAACTAAGTGATGTAGCCACAGTTAGCTGCAGGAAGTCTAGAAAGTGTATTTTTAAAAAAATTTTGGGCAGCCAGGTACCCAGCTGAGTCAAGTTTTCAAGGGTTCTCTCACAGTGGGTGGAGGGGATGAATATTGGGGTACCCCTGGGAGTCTCTGCCAGATTAGCAGGATCCCCCCATACTGCTTCCCTTTATTTTCTTTTAGGGCCCCGTCCCCTACATCACAGTTAACCCACAAATGCCTGGACCCGCAAACTGCCCCTGGCTGTAGGGTTCCTCCCCGCAGTGGTCCCTGAAACTCCAAACCCTTCCCAGCTGCTCCTGCTCCTGCCCTCCAGGCCTGGCTTTCAGCTGCTTATGAGGAAAGCAGGCTAATCCTGAAAAGGAATATGTTTTGGGGTGCCCGACGGTGTTGCTGAGTCCTAAAGGCGGGCCCTGGAAGGGAGAATCCCAGGCTCCTTGATGGGTGAGGGAGTGTTTTTAGGCGGAGCATCCTTTGGAGGGGCCTCTGGGCTCAGGCTCTGAGTGGGCACTGCTGATACATGGTCCTGTCTTCTGCAGGCTCCCAAGGTGAGGCGGCAGAGTGACACCTGGGGACCCTGGGGCCAGTGGAGCCCCTGCACCCGGACCTGTGGAGGGGGCGTCAGTTTCCGGGAGCGCCCCTGCTACTCCCAGAGGTAGGAGAGACGAAAATGGGCCGGCTTGTTAAAGCAGGAGCAGGGGATGCTGGCTTCTGGGTGGTAGGCTAGGCAGTCGCGGCCTAGGCTAGCACTGGCCACATCAGCAGAACCCACCAAGCAGCAGATTCATTCTGGAAGCAGCATCAGTTCAGCACAGGAAATCAAACCATTTCCCAGGGCCTTCCACTCTGAGCTGGAGCACACGTGCTGCCTGCTGCCCCTGGTCTCCAGCTCCTGATGCTGCACCTGCCTGCCCTATGGCAGGTGCAGTCAATTTTGGTGGAACCAGTAAACAATCTTCAACCGGCAATTCCCAATTCCTGTGGCTTCTTTGCCAAATATAGATGTTCCCCATTTCAAGCGATTTATTAAGTGCTTGCTGTGTGTGCTGCACTCTGGCAGGGTCAGTGGAGAAGGTGGGGTACAGAAGGGGTAGTGAGGTGCCTCTGTCCCAGTATAGGGGTTGTTCCTGAGAACCCTGTGTGAGGGGGAATGAGAGACCAGGAATGATCCTAAAAGCCTTATACTGATGTCCTGCTTAGATCGCAGGATGGCTGTGCCAGGCGGGTGGGTATTACATCTCACGCAGGTATTACATCTCACGCAGAGTCTTCTCTGGGAATCTGCCGTAAGAGGCAGTGGAGTGGTCCCGCCTTAAATTCAAATTACAGGGCGGGTAGGGCTCTGAGTCCCGCTTCTCCCAAGTACCAACACGGGTCGCTCACGCCCCGCCAGGGGATTTATGGCATGGGGTCGGGGGGGCACCCTCTCACCTTGCTGCTCCCACTGGAGAGCCCCGCAGAAGTTGGGGCCTGCAGGGAGCCCCAGCACGGGGGTGGGGACGTTGGGTCTCGGTCCGGGTCCTCCCGGTGCTCTGGTCCCGCAGGAGAGATGGAGGCGCCAGCTGCGTGGGCCCCGCCCGGAGCCACCGCTCTTGTCGCACTGAGGTAAAGCCCACGGGGCGCGGGCGAGGGCACCAGCTACCCCAACCCCTCCCGGCCGACGTCCCCACAGGGATGCCCGCCTCTGGCCGGGGGCTGCTCGGTTGGCCCAGCCTGGGGTCCTCCTGCCAATCCACAGCAGGGCTGCTTGGGAGCCCGTTCCTCACCCTGCCCCCGGGGACTGGCCTTGTCCTCCACAGCCTAGAGCACCATGGAGGGGCGCGCACAGGAGTCCGGGGGTCTGGGGGGCAGACTCCACCTCCAGCGGCTCGGACTGGGCAGGCGAGGGAGATTCCTGGGCTCCCTGGGCTGGGGCGGGCGGCGGGGACAGGGCGGGGAGGGAGGTGGGCGGACCTCGGACTCCGCCTCCTGGACCCCGACTTCCCCTCTGCCCCGCAGAGCTGCCCCGATGGCGCCCGGGACTTCCGGGCCGAGCAGTGCGCGGAGTTCGACGGAGCTGAGTTCCAGGGGCGGCGGTACCGGTGGCTGCCCTACTACGGCGGTGAGCGCGGCCGGGACCCCTCTCTCGGGGGTCTCTTGTATCCATACATTGATGCCACAGTTCCTATTGCCGTATTATAGAGGCGTTTTCATATATATGTGTATATATATATACACACACACACGTATATTAGAGACAGTCTCGCTGTGTTGCCCAGGCTGGTCTTGAACTCCTGGGCTCAAGGGATCCGCCCGCAGCGACCTCCCAGAGTGCTGGGATTGCAGGCGTGAGCCACTGTACTCGGCCAATTTTTTTTGACTGGGCGCGGTGGCTCGCAATGTACAGGGAATCTTCTAGACCACAGGACCCACCTTTGGGGAGGAGAGGGTCTGCAGAGGTCCCTCGTGAGAGAACAAGAGGTCTTACTTTTTCTTTATTTTTTTTCTTTTTGTTCTTTTCTTTTTTTCTTTCTCTCATTCTCTCTTTCTCTCCTGTTCTTCCTTTCCTTTCTTTCTTTTCTTTTTTTTTTTTTTTAAGATAGGCTCTCACCCAGGCTTGAGTGCAGCAGTGCAGCATCAGCTGGGCAGCCTCGAACTCCCAAGCTCAGTCAATCCTTCCACCTCAGCCTCCCAGATAATTTTTTTAAAACAACATGGAATGCTTCATGAATTTGCACACCATACCTCCTCAGGGGTCAGGGGCTGTGCTAATCCCTGTATCATTCCAATTTTAGTATATGTGCTGCCAGAGCCAGCATTTGTCAAATACCCCATCGATCAACCCATAATGAATCAATCACCAGTCACCCCCGCTCCCCCCAGCGCATGCCTGTGGCAACACAATGGCAGCTATTTTGAGGTCTTTCCATCCTTTCTCCCCTTATGTGTGTATATTTTCAAACGGAGCTATGGTGTGTCTATACCATTTTGAGCCCTGTTTTTGCTCAGTCTGCTATGGGAAGCGTTCCTCCTGTCACACAGAGACGGATGTGGGGAGCCCCAGGAGCAGTAGGAGTGGTGCCCCCCGGTCATCCTGCAGGAGGGGCTGGAAGGGACTTGGTACACCAAGACTTCATTTACCAAGGATCCGGGGGCCAGAGGAGATGGTCTGAGTACCTCTGAGGAGGGTATAAGTCATTACTTTTTAGATAAATACAGTTCAGGAAAAAAACACCCACGTAAGCACCAACAGGTATGTCATTAAGCATTTTAGATGAATCAGAAGATTCCTCAAGACAAGTCTTCTGAGTGTTCGTTTTCCCTGCTTGCTGCGCATGACCTCTGGAGACCCCGTGGCACTCGTATCCTGTGCGTGTGTGGGTGGGTGTGTGTGTGTTATGGGGATCGTGGCTGTGGCCCAGTGGGAGTCTCATATCCTGTGTGTGTGTGTTTGTGTGTGTGTGTGTGTGGTGGGGATCGTGGCTGTGGGCGTGGCCCAGTGGGAGTCTCATATCCTCTGTGTGTGTGTGTGGTGGGGGATCGTGGCTGTGGGCATGGCCCAGTGGGAGTCTCATTCTGTGTGTGTGTGTGTGTGGTGGGGATCGTGGCTGTGGGCGTGGCCCAGTGGGACTCTAGCTTTCAATATTCCCTCTGGATCCTGAAGTGGACACATGTCAAGAATAATTTGAGTATATTCACATGATAGAAAAATTGGAACACAGAAGAAAGTCTAAAAAGATAGTAGAGGGATACCTTCCATGGTGTGGAGATGATTATAATCCTGTTTGTACTTTTGGGTTGTTTTAAAATGTGTATATATTTAGATAAATATAAAAATTAAGGTTGGATGCAGTGGCTCATGCCCGTAATCCCAGCACTTTGGGAAGCTGAGGCAGGACGATCACTTGAGTCCAGGAATTTGAGACAAGCCTGGGCAATGTGGTGAAACCCCATCTCTACCAAAAATACAAAGATTAGCCAGGCATACAAAGATTAGCTAGGCATGGTGGCACACACATGTAGTCCCAGCTGTTCAAGAAGCTGAGGTGGGAGGATCACTTGAGGCCAGGAAGTTGAGGCTGCAGTGAGCCAATATCACACCACTGCACTCCAGCCAGGATGACAGAGTGAGATCTTGTCTCCAAAAGAAAAAAATTAAAACCAGGCCAGTTTCAGTGGCTCCTGCCTGTAATCCTGGTTCTTTGGAAGGCTGAGGCAGGAGGATCATTTGAGCCCAGGAATTTTAAACTAGCCTGGGCACCATAGTAAGACCCTGTCTCTACAAAAGAAATTTAAAAAAATAGCTGGGTATGGTCCCAACTATTTGAGAGACTGAGGCTGGAGGACCACTTGAGTCTGGGAGGTGGAGGCTGCTGTGAGCTTTGATCGTGCCTCTGCATTCCAGCCTGGGAGACAGAGTGAGATCCCATCTGAAAAACATTAAAACCAGGAAAAAGTTACCCTCATCCTGCCCCTTTCACAAGATCACTGTTAGCATTTCATCTTAGCCCCTTTCACATCATTCTCTCCATATACACTTACATATTTGTAATTATTGCATATTAATCACCATTTTGCATTCTGTGTTTTAAGCATCTTCCCACACCATATAGTTTTCACAATCATCATTTGCAACTTCATAGTCAGCAGGTGTAATATTCCATTGATAATTTGTTTAAAGAGTAGCTTGTTATGGCCAGGCACGGTGGCTCACACCTGTAATCCCAGCACTTTGGGAGGCTGGGGCAGGCAGATCACCTGAGGTCAGGAGTTCAAAACCAGCCTGCCCAACATGGTGACACCCCATCTCTACTAAAAGTATGAAACTTAGCCGGGTGTGGTGGCGCGTGCCTGTAGTCCCAGCTACTGGGGGGGATGAGGCAGGAGAATCGCTTGAACTAGGAAGGCGGAGGTTACAGTGAGCCGAGATCGTGCCACTGCACTCCAGCCTGGGCAATAAGAGTGAGACTCCATCTCAAAAAAACAAAACAAAACAAAACAAAACAAATAGCCTGTTGTAACCACCTCAGCTGTGGTAAACAATGCTGAGGTAGACTTCTTTAAGTGCTTTGCTTTTTCCTTATCCTGGTCAGCTGTGGTAAATAATGCTGAGATGGACTTCTTTAAGTGCTTTGCTTTTTCCTTATCCCGGTCAGCTGTGGTAAACAATGCTGAGATGGACTTCTTTAAGTACTTTGCTTTTTCTTTATCCTGGGACTTTTCTTCGACTTGATCCTTAGAGGTGCGACAGATTCAGGGAGGTGGCCCCTTCTCCTTGGGTGGGGGCTGCTGCAGGGCTTTCTGACCCATGCTTTCCTGTTGCTAGGGTAGGCCTTGGGCCCTGGGGAGGGGCGTCATCCAACCTCAGGATCTCAGTCTTGCCTTCCTGCCCACCCCAGCCCCAAACAAGTGTGAACTGAACTGCATTCCCAAGGGGGAGAACTTCTACTACAAGCACAGGGAGGCTGTGGTCGACGGGACGCCCTGCGAGCCTGGCAAGAGGAATGTCTGTGTGGATGGCAGCTGCCGGGTGAGTGGCCCCCCAGCCCCTCCCTGCCTCCAGGCTGCCTGGGGGCTCAGTGCGGGTGTCTCCCTGTCCATCACCCACAGGCCCAGGTAGCTGCCATGAGCTTGGTGTCTTCTCAAGTTACCAGAACACCAAGCCCAGCTCCTAGGGTACCTTGCAGGCATCACAGATGCCCTATGGCCCCTCACCTTCATTCTTGGAGAATGCTAGCCCTACAATAAGAGAAACCCTCTGGGTGGCAGAAATCTGGCTAAAACCGAGTTCAGAGAAACAAACAGGGACAGCCGCAGGTGCATGAATGAGGTGCCACTCGGCTTTCCTCTCCGTGGGTCCGGCAGCAGGATCGGGCCTGTTCTTCCCAGGAGGTGTGGAGGTGGCCGCCAGCTGCTCCGGACTTCTGCTGTGGCAGCCTGGCCCCTCCCAGAGAAAGGGGGCCTCATTCCCAGGAGTTTCAGCCACCAGGGGTTAGGACTTACCCTGAACCACTCCACCCTCCCCAGAACCACATTTGGGGAGCTCCATTCAACTCTGCGGGAGAGAGGTGGCCCTTCAAGGAAAACGGCGTTATTACCAGAAGGGGAGATGGGAGCTGAGCAGATAAATGGATTCTCAGTCACAGGCCAGTCCCCTGGCTTGTGACTGAATCACTCCTGACCACCCTATTCTGCCTGGGCTGCGCGGGTGCTGGGGTTAGGGTGTGACGGGGCCCAAGGCCTGATGTGGCCGTGATGCCCTCTCCCATGCCTCCCGCGTCTCTGCCCACAGGTTGTCGGCTGTGATCACGAGCTGGACTCATCCAAGCAGGAGGACAAGTGTCTGCAGTGTGGGGGTGACGGCACGACCTGCTACCCCGTCACAGGCACCTTTGACGCTAATGACCTCAGCCGAGGTGGGGGTGGTTCCGACAAGGGGCTGTTGTCTGCCCCTTCCTTGCCTGTCCCTGCTCTGGCCTAGGCTCCAGGCCAAGTGGCCCTCATGGCACCCGAAGGCTCTGACCATATCAGGTCACGTCTGAAAGGCCCCATGTGGCCTTTGGTTAGGACCCTTGCCCACTTGTGCAGTCCCACCTCCTGCCACTGCTTGGATGCTCTCCCCATCTCTTCCCGCTCCCGGTGTGCTCCGGGTGCCCTGAGCCTTCCCGCCACCCTGGCTTTTGTACTGCAGCCTCTTCTGCCGGGGTTGCCGTTCCCAGCAGCTCGGCCCGGTCTGGCTCCTGCGTACCCTCCCTGCCCCCATTCTGTGCTGCGTGGCACTTGGAGTCCTTGGGGGCCGCTCCTTCCTGCTGTTTGAGTGGTGCCGGGGGAGGGATAGCCCAGCACCCTCAGCACCTGTGTCTCTGCCCCCACCAGGCTACAACCAGATCCTCATAGTTCCCGCGGGTGCCACCAGCATCCTCATCGAGGAGGCTGCTGCCAGCAGGAACTTTCTGGGTGAGAGCCTGGGGTTAGGTCCTGGCAGGTCTGGGGCTGCAGGGGGAGGTGTGGCCGTGCCTCCTGCCGCTGACTGAGGCGGTCTCCTCTGCGCAGCCGTGAAGAATGTTCGCGGGGAATACTACCTCAACGGGCACTGGACCATCGAGGCGGCCCGGGCCCTGCCGGCAGCCAGCACCATCCTGCATTACGAGCGGGGTGCTGAGGGGGACCTGGCCCCTGAGCGGCTCCATGCCCGGGGCCCCACCTCGGAGCCCCTGGTCATTGAGGTCATTGAGTGGGGGTGTGGGGAGAGAGCGCGAGTGGGTGGCTCGTGGTCCCCAAGAGGCTGCCAAGCTCTGTACATGGGGGGTTGAGTGGCTCTGGGCCTGAGCCTGGCAGGGGGCTGTGGGGTTGTGGAGGGTGTGGGAGTGCCCCCCAGCAGCAAACCCCAACAAGGACTCCCATGGCAGCTCATCAGCCAGGAGCCCAACCCCGGCGTGCACTACGAGTACCACCTGCCCCTGCGCCACCCCGGTCCTGGCTTCAGCTGGAGCCACGGCTCATGGAGTGACTGCAGCGTGGAGTGTGGCGGAGGTGCGGGCGTGGATGGACCAGGGGAGGGTGTGGGCCCTGTGTGCCGGGTCCCATGGCCATGGGTGAGCAAGTCGCAGTCCCTCCTGGGGAGATGGATGAGCAGGCGAGAAATCTCTGTATTATGGGGGTGGCTTTGAGGAAAACCCAGGGATCTGGGGGACTCCATGAAGGACCCCAGCCTAAGTGAATAGAACCAGAGGGGGCTTCCCAGAGGCAGCGGCATCTCATAGGAGACAGACTCCCTTAGGAACGGAGACTGGGCCTGGGGTCAGTGATCAGGTGCCAGAGCAGGGCTCTCTCACAGCAAAAACTCTCTGAGCCTCAGTTTCCTCATCTGCCAGTTGGGGATGATGGTGGCACTTGCCTTGGGGAGTCATCTAAGGCTGAATGGGGATGACCTACGGGGTGAGTGCGGGATGGCGCCTGGCCCGGGGAACACGCTTAGTGAATGTTGACTGGTGTTTGCCCGCCGTGGCCGGGCCTCTGCTCAGGTCACCAGTCCCGCCTGGTGTTCTGCACCATCGACCATGAGGCCTACCCCGACCACATGTGCCAGCGCCAGCCACGGCCGGCCGACCGGCGCTCCTGCAACCTTCACCCTTGCCCAGAGACCAAGCGGTGAGGCCTTGCCAGCCCCTCTACCTATGATGGGGCCCAAGAACTTGGGTGGGAAGGGAACAGGGCCTCCAAGCTGCTTTAGGTGTAGAACAAAGAGGCAGGGGTCCAGGGCCCCCCACACTGTTACTGGGGTGTGGGAGAGGTGGCAGCTATCCCTGGGGGAGGCAGAGAATGGGCCTGAGCCCGGGTCTGGTCTCTGCCCTCTTGTGACCATGAAGTACTCAGAACACCCAGGCTTGGTGGCAGGAGGGTTGGAGAAGGTTCTAGAGGTCCCTGTCTGTGTGAGCCAGCAGAGGGTTTGGCTTGGCAGATGCCGAGGGGTGGGCCAGGGGTCGGGCCACAGGGCCTGCTGGCATTGGCCATGCCTTTGTTCGTGCACAAAGGACTTCTTACCTGCACCGGCCTGGAGCGTGGCGCCTTGCTGGGGCCCAGCGAGTATGTGGGAACAGGTAACCTGCAGGTCACAGGCTCCCCGCAGGGTTGGTGCCAACCCGTCACCGCTTGGCCTTGGTGGCAGCGGGCCTCCTGGGATGGTGGCAGGCTTGGCTTTGCATGGGGCCACAGGGCTGCTCTCTCCTCCGGGTCCTTGCACCTGGGGCCTGGCAGCGCTGCTCCACGCATGGGTGAGCGCACCCTCTCCAGGAGCTGCCCCTGACTAAGGTCAGACTGAGAGGAATGGAGTCTGACTGGGAGACAGGGACCTGGTGGGAAGGAGAAAGGGGGATAGTGTTGAGGACCAGAAAGCCAAGGGGGTGGCGCGGGGCTCCGAGTTGTGGGGAGCACTCAGAGAGCCCGGCCCGGTGGTGGGGATGCTAAGGAGCGCCTGGGTCGTGGCCTTTGTTCAGGCCGGAGGTTCAGAGGATGGGCAGGGGTGGGCATCCTCAGGCCACCTGTGTGAGTGAGGGCTTGTGCCTCTCAGGGCTGGGTTTCTGCCCATGCTCCCGGGCCAGCCTTACCTGATTCCCCCTCCTGCCAGCTGGAAGGCAGGGCCATGGGCGCCCTGCTCGGCCTCCTGCGGAGGAGGCTCCCAGTCCCGCTCTGTGTACTGCATCTCATCTGACGGGACCGGCGTCCAGGAGGCTGTGGAGGAGGCTGAGTGTTCCGGGCTGCCTGGGAAGCCCCCTGCCATTCAGGCCTGCAACCTGCAGCGCTGCACAGCCTGGAGCCCGGAGCCCTGGGGAGAGGTGAGGCCCCTGGCCCGGATGGGGCTGGTGCTGGGCCTGGGCAGCAGCAGGGAAGGGCTGGGGTCTTGTTCTCTGCTGTGGAAACTGAGGTCCTGGGAGGTAAAGTGACCTGTCAGGTCATCTTGGAAGCTGTGGCCAAGGCTGGGACCAGAAGCAAGTACCTGGATGACTGGTCCAGGGCTCTTCCTTTTTCTCCAGGATCCCGGGGCAGGGTGAGAAAGGCCTGGGCAGGAAGAAGCTGGGTGTGTTGTTTGGGGGCAAGGGAGGGGTTGGCAGTGTCTAGGCTGCCAGTCATTGCTTCTGGCACCTACATATATTTAAGTTGCAAACGACTGGAAAATACAAATGGGTGACAACCTCAGTCTGTTGTCAGTAGCCATGGTTCAGGCTGTGTGACCTCAGGGGAGTGACTCAGCCTCTCTGGGCCTGGGAAGGACATGGGTAGTGGGTGCTATCTGCCTCCATGCCAGGCTGGTGGGCTGCTAGCTGTCCGACCTGGCGTGGCTCCTCGGGGCAGGGCCGAGCTCCTGCTGACAGCCTTGTCCTTGCAGTGCTCTGTCAGCTGTGGCGTTGGCGTCCGGAGGCGGAGCGTGACTTGCCGGGGTGACGGGGATTCTTTGCTCCATACTGCAGCGTGCTCCCTGGAAGACCGGCCACCTCTCAGCGAGCCCTGTGTGCATGAGGACTGCCCCCTCCTCAGGGACCAGGCCTGGCATGTCGGCGCCTGGGGTCTGGTGAGCGCTCTCCACCCCACACCTGCTGCCTGAGCCTGGCCTCCAGCAGGTGGCTGCACACGAGCGCCGTCCTTGGACCCAACATGGGCCACTGCGCACCTTCCCCTGCCTCTCTCCATGTGGGTCCCCACCCCTAGCCTCACCCTCAGGGTCTCTCTCTCCCACCCCTGGGCCTCAGTGCTCCAAGAGCTGCAGCTCGGGCACTCGGAGGCGACAGGTCATCTGTGCCATTGGGCCGCCCAGCCACTGCGGGAGCCTGCAGCACTCCAAGCCTGTGGATGTGGAGCCTTGTAACACGCAGCCCTGTCATCTCCCCCAGGGTAAGGACAGGAGGGCAGGGAGGAGCCTGGCCCGACCTCTCTCCCACTGGCTATGAACCCACAAGCATGTGCTGCCTCGGGGCCTCTGCCTGCACTGTCATCCCTCTGGACCCCACTTCTCCCATGTCTCCCCCGCTGAACCCTTTGCCATCTGTAAGGCCCACCTGGTGTGCAGCCCACGAGGCAGCCCCGCGTTCCTCCACTCAGCAGTGGCGTGCCCCCTGCCCCTCCGGCCCCCATAGCATGCTGTCATTTCTGTGGGACTCTTAGATTCGTTTCCTTGTGCTGCTGTGGTTGTATACGGCTTGTCAGACCTTCCCACTATAAAATTCTTGAGGACTGGGTCCCCAGCTTCCATATGCCTCTCTATACCCCCATAGAACATACCTGACACAGTTAGGTACTCAGTGAATGTTTGTTGAATGACTGAGTGACTGACTGTGTGCTGAGGAGGGAAGCAGTCCAGGAAGGAGTGTCTCCACATGCTACTTCTGCCTCTGTCTTCTTCCCTTCATCCCCGTCGCACTGTGAAGGGAGCCTCACAGACAGGAGGGCCTGCTGGAGAAAGGGCACTGAGGCCGGTGTTTGCTTGGCGTGAGGATGCCACATGGAGGAAGGATGTGGGTGGTGGCTGAGCTGGGATGGGGGTGGAGGGGTGGCCTCCCAATACTGCAGGGAGGCATGTTTGGCCTTGACGCACTCGTGACGGGGACTCTCTGAGCCATAGGGACCTTGAGGTGAAGGAAGGCAGAATTTCTATGAGACATGTGACAGGTGTGGCTAAGAACCAGTGGCCTCAGCATCACCAGCAGGCTTGAGTTTCGATCCACTCCATTGCTGACCAGTTATGTGGCCTCGGGCCAGTGCCCCACCTCTCTGATTCTCAGTTTGCCCGTCTGTACAGTGGTTGAAAAGAGGGACTTTCCAGACCGTGGTGGCTCATGCGGCACAATGGCTGACCACACGGGATGCTTGCTAGCTAAGCAGAGGGTGGGAAGGAGTGGTGGTGAGGCCTTGCGGGGAGCTCAGGCTCACTGACCGTCCTGAGAGCCCCTGGTGCCTCAGCTGGGGCCTGGTCCTTGGGGCTCACCAGCAGGAGAGCCTTGCACTCCCCGGGGTTCAGAGCTCCGTGGAGCCAGTCTGTTCCCCAGGGCCTTGCTGGCTTCTAAAAGAGGTGATCTTAAGCCTGTCGCAGCGACTAGCAGGACTCGCATAGAAAGGAAGGAAAAGGGCAGGGAAGTTTAATCCCAGGCTGTAATCCCAGCACTCTGGGAGGCTGAGGTGGGAGGATCGCTTGAAACCAGGAGTTCCAGACCCGCCTCGCCAACATTGTGAAGCATCATCTCTACTAAAAATACAAAAATTTAGCTGGGTGTGGTGGCGGGCGCCGGTAATTCCAGCTACTCAGGAAGCTGAGGCAGGAGAATTGCTTGGACTTGGGAGGCGGAGGTTGCAGTGAGCTAAGATCACACAATTGCACTCCAGCCTGGGCAACAAGAGTGAGACTCCATCTCAAAAAAAAAAAAAAAAAAAGATTTCACCACATATCCATTGGAGTCTTCCAACCCCAAATTATCATTGTTTTAAATATTCCTGGGGGCTGGGTGCAACTGCTCACGCCTGTAATCCCAGCACTTTGGGAGGCCGAGGCAGGTGGATCACTTGAGCCCAGGAGTTCAGGACCAACCTGATCAACATGGCGAAACCCCGTCTCTACTAAAAATACAAAAATTAGCCGGGCGTGGTGGCGGGCACCTGTAGTCCCAGCTACTCAGGAGGCTGAGGCTCAAGAATCACTTGAACCTGGGAGGTGGAAGTTGCAGTGAGCAGAGGTCGTGCCCCTGTACTCCAGCCTGGGAGACAGAGCGAGATTCTATCTCAGAAATAAAAAGATAGATAGATAAATATTTCTAGGGATTTTGGCAAGATGTAGTCCATGTGGGAATGGAATATTCACTTACTTTATTATTATTTTGAGACAGGGTCTCTGTTGCCCAGGCTGCAGCGCATGGTACAATTATAGCTCACTGCAGCCTCCACCTTCTGGGCTCAAGGGATCCTCCCACATCAGCCTCCTGTGAAGCTGAGACCACAGGTGCAGGCCACCACGCCCAGCTAATTTTCTGATTTTTTGTCGAGATGGGCTCTTGTTATGTTGTCCAGGCCGGTCTTGATCTCCTGGGCTCAGACAATCCTCTCACCTTAGCCTCTCAAAGTGCTGGGATTACAGGTGTGAGCCACTGTGCCTGACCCACTTATTTTATTCTTTATACCTTTCTTCCATTATATAGTAATCTGCTTATTTTGGAAAATTTGAAGCACACAAATAGAAGGGAAGGGCACCCTGCCTCCCAAGCACTCATAGCAGCTTTCACGATGAGCATGATTTTGGGGGATGGTCCTATAGGTTTTCTCTTATGTAGCATTAAAAAAACATTCGTATTGTCCTAATTTTATCTACTTATCCATTTGCATTTTCCGACAGTATTTTGTCATGAAAAATCTTTTTGAAAAATTTAGGGATGTTGTTTAAATAAATCCGTATACCATAAAACCCACCCATTCTAATGGCACAATGATTTTTTGTAAATTTACAAGTTGGACACCATGATAAAAACTTTAAACATACCAAAGAGTTGAAAGAATGCATAGTCAGCAGCCACGCACACACTGTGTCAGTCAGTTCCACAACTAATATTTTGCTATATTTGTTTTTTTTTTTTTTTTTTGAGACAGAGTCTGGCTCTGTCGCCGAGGCTGGAGTGCAGTGGCGCGATCTTGGCTCACTGCAAACCCCACCTCCTAGATTCACCCCATTCTCCTGCCTCAGCCTCCTGAGTAGCTGAGACTACAGGTGCCCACAACCACGCCCAGCTAATTTTTTGTATTTTTAGTAGAGATGGAGTTCCACCGTGTTAGCCAGAATGGTCTCCATCTCCTGACCTCATGATCCACCCGCCTTGGCCTCCCAAAGTGCTGAGATTACAGGTGTGAGCCACTGTACCCGGCCTTGTGTTTTCATTATCTAGTCTCTTGTCATTGTCTTTTTTTTTTTTTTTTTTTTTTTTTTTTGAGACTTAGTCTCACTCTGTTGCCCAGGCTGGAGCATAGTGGCGTGATCTCAGCTCAGTGCAACATCCGCCTCCCAGGCTCAAGTGATTCTCCTGCCTCAGCCTCTTGAGTAGCTGGGATTATAGGTGCGTGCTACTGAACCCAGCTAATTTTTGTATTTTCAGTAGAGACGGGGTTTTCACCATGTTGGCCAGGCTGGTCTCGAACTCCTGACCTCAAGTGATCTGCCCACCTCGGCCTCCCAAAGTGCTGGGATTACAGGCGTGAGCCCATGCTTGGCTCATTATCTAGTCTCTTTCTATCCCTTTGTCTATTCATCCGATTTTTTAAAATATGGAATTTTTTTATGGAGGTGAAATTTACATAACATTCAGTTAGCCCTTTTAAAGTGTACAGGTTGGTGGCATTTAGTGCGTTATTTCAATCTCTGATGTTAGACATCCTAGTAGGTAGGAAGCAGGACCTCATTGTGGTTTTGATTTGCATTTCCCTGATGACTAATGATGTTGAGCATCTTTTTACGTGTTTGTTGGCCATTTGCATATCATCTTTGGAGAAATGCGTAAGTTCTTTACCCACTTTTTAAAATTGGATTGTTTGCCTTTCATCAATCCAATTTTTCTTTTAAAGTATGTTCTGTTTTTTGTTTTATGTGGCTGGGATCATAACACATGCACATTTTATATCTAGTACTTTTTGCTGAACATGTAAGATTAGCATTTTTGGCCAGGTGCAGTGGCTCACACCTATAATCCCAGCATTTTGGGAGGCTGAGTTAGGAGGATCACTTGAGCCCAGGAGTTTGAGACAAGCCTGGGCAATATAGGAAGACCCTATCATTACAAAAAAAAAAAAAAAAAGATAGTAGTCCCAGCTACTCAGGGGCTGAGGTGGGAGGATCACTTGAACCCAGGAGGTTGAGCCTTTAGTGAGCTGTGATCACACTACTGCATCTCGGCCTGGGCGACAGAGACCCTGTCTCAAAAAAGATGAGCATTTTCTGTGTGACTGGAGACTTTGGAAGAGTGGCTGGGCGGTTTTTGAAATCCCGGGTGGTGCTCCTCCCTTGGGCTGTCTCAGGTTCCCGGGCCCTACCTGGGCAGTGGGGTAGAAGCCAGTGCTGGGCAGGGTTGGCCACAGCTGAGGTCCATCCTCTCTTCCTCCCTTTCCATCCCGCATGGACCTCCTGGCTCCCTGCAGAGGTCCCCAGCATGCAGGATGGGCACACCCCTGCCAGCAACCCCCGAATGCCATTGGGCCCTCAGGAGTCCTCTGCCTCGGGTGAGAGCTTGGTCCTATCCCCCACTCACAGCCCTGTAGTATTTGTGTCTGAGTGGATGGTCCGTGGGGGTGTGGAGGCCACAGTTGGGTGCAGCCATGGTGGAGGGGAGAATGGTCCAGGGGACGGAGGAAGGTGGGTCCGGCGTGGTCAGGGGTGGAGGGGAGGAGCCAGGTAGAGGCACTGTGTGTCTTTTGCTTCCTCTTCTTTGTAGACTCCAGAGGCCAGTGGTGGGCAGCCCAGGAACACCCCTCAGCCGGGGGTGACCGCAGGGGAGAACGAGGCACCCACCTGTCAGCCCTGGGCCCCGCCCCCTCTCTGCAGCAGCCCCTACACCAGCAACCCCTACAGTCGGGCTCAGGGCCCCATGACTGCAGACACAGTCCTCATGGGTGCTGCCCCGATGGCCACACGGCGTCTCTCGGGCCACAGTGGCAAGGCTGCCCTGGGGTCTCCTGTCAGCAGAGCAGGTGGGTGCTGGAGACAGGTCTTCCCCCTGCCCCATCAAAGAGGGAAGGTGAGGCCCCGTGGGTGAGCCAACATCTCTGGTCAGAAGAGGGCTGGGGTGGGCGTGCACAGCTCAGGAACAGGATGCCCACGCTTTCCTCCCTGCGCTGCCCTGAGCATGGGATCTTGGGGACTTGGCTTCCTGTGGCTGAGCCTCCTGCTGTGCCGAGTGGGGACACAAACCCCACCTTGCTGCAGCGTCAGCCTGTGGAAACACAGCCGGAGACTCCGAGAAGGCTCCAGGTGCGATTCTAGCTCTCAGATCTAACCAGGCTCAGGGAACCTGTGGTAAAGGCTGGACGAGGGCCGACCAGCTCCTCACAGTCTTCGTAACAGCCCCCGCCACGCCTGCCTTATGGATTGGGTCCGAGTCATCCCACTCCTGCAGGTGTCCTCCCTCTGCCTCTCCTCCTTCCATGGCCTGCCCTGAACGCATCCCCAATGTGCTGTCTCAGAGACTGGGTGCTTCTGGACCCAGACTTTGTGGCCAGTGGCCTGGGGACAGTTCCCAGCTCAGACACTCGCCGGCTGTGTGTTGGGTGACTTGGGTCACGTGACTTAACCTCTGCGATCTTGGTTCCTCTTCTGAGAACTGGGAATGATGACAGTCATGATGGAGCCCCCGTGAGGGTGAAGTGCGTCACAGTATGCCTGGCACAGAGAGGGCACCGGGCACCCTCCCTCCTTTCACCTTGCCTCCTTGCACCTGGTGGGTGGGTGTGGAGTAAATGGTGCGTTCCTTTGAACCCCCTCTTCTGCCCCGTCTCCCGTCTGCTTCTGTTTTGTAACTCCCGCTGAGAACTGACATTTGGTCGGACTCGGATGAACATCCCCCTTCTTGGTTTTGTGGGCTGTGCAATTGACGCTCTGCCAGTGATGAGGGGCACAGCCACCGCTTATTGTGTTACGACTGCCCTCCCTGGTAGCTGCTAAGAGCCGGTGAATGTAGGCAGAGATTGCGGCACACAAAATGGCCTGCCCTGCACATAGGGACACATCCTCTCCCACCCGGGTCCCCACCCTGTCAGCCCCCACCATGGGGAGCCTCAGAGCCTGGGTCTTGGGATGCAGGGAGCATGGGGACAGGCTGGGCAGTGAGGGGCTGTGTGATGTCTGCCTAGGTACGGGTGCTGCCCTGACAGGGTATCTGTCGCTGAGGGGCCCCATCACGCTGGCTGCACAAAGTTGTACGGCAGTGACAGCACCAGGAGCAGGCCCAGGTCAAGGGCAGTGGCTTCTACAGTAAGTGTCTGGCCTGTGGGAGGGGAGGAGGCCAGCCCCTGAGCCTGCTCAGTGTCACTGTGACCCAGGATCTTTGCCGCTTTGGCCTCGGAGAAAGGAGGTCCCTGCAAACCTGCTGGCCTGAGTCATCCTCTGGAGGGCACCGGGCTTCAAAGATGGGCCTGGGGCGGATCGGGGGTTTCATCCAACATTCTCCTGGCCTCTGGTCTCCCCTGGGCTGGGATTCTGGCCTCTCCTTCCTGCCATCCTCCCCATGGCAGCCCAGAGTTCCCAACAATGGCCAGATCCATTGCCCACTTCCCAATCATGGGTTTCCTCCCCAGGTCCACAACACCCACCAGCCCCAGGCCCAGCAGAATGAGCCCAGTGAGTGCCGGGGCTCCCAGTTTGGCTGTTGCTATGACAACGAGGCCGCTGCAGCCGGTCCTCTTGGGGAAGGCTGTGTGGGCCAGCCCAGCCATGGTGAGTGGACGCCCCCTCTCCTCCTTCTCGATGGGTAGACTCTGCTCCTACCATGCCTCCAGCCCCTACCCAGAACCAAGACCTTCCTGCTGGCTCAGTTATTCATTGCTTCCACAAATGTTGATTGAGCACCTGCTAGGTGCCAGGCCAGAGAGCAGTGCCAGAGTGTTCGTGCATCTAGCAGTTTGAGCCTGTGGCCTTCTGGCTGCTTCTGGGAACTGGGGAGGGTGGGAGGTGGGAATCCCAAGGGGCTGGGATGCCAGTCTCATGCTTGGGAGTCAGCCCCTTCGAGGCAGAGCCGGTGCAGGGCAGTTAGTGCTGGGATGGGCAGGAGTACCCTGACCCTGCCTGGAATGTGTGTGGAGTAGCAGGAGCTGAGTGCTGGAGGGAGGGTAGGGGCAGGGAGGTCTTTGAGGTTGCAGCCCTGGATGAATGAGTAGAGCTGCTGGGAACCATTGCGAGGACCTCAAAGGCCAGGCTAGGGCTGTGGTCAGGGCTCGCAGGAGGCACCCGTGGTCATGTCTAAATGTGGAGAGGTGGGTCAGGCCATGCTGGCGAGGGCTGCTGGAATGGCAGGCTGGGTGCTGGAGGTGGGCTCAGTGGCCAGTCAGTGCGGCATCCTGGGGACAAGGGCAGGCCCTTCCTGGGCATCTTCACACGCCCTGGGTGGCTCAGGCCTGTGTCCCTATCACAAGCTGAGCAGGCAGGTTCACCTTCTGGGCTCACTTTGCATGTGACTCCAGGTGGTCTGGTGGCAGGAAAGGCCAAGGGTCCAAGGGAGCTGGCCCAGGGGGCCCTGGCCCTGACCTCCCAGAGGCTCTAGCTCTGTGGGTGAAGGCTGCTGTGGCACCAGCCTGGGGCAGGTCTGCACAGTGGACAGACTCCGGTGGAAGTGTCCTGCATCCCAGGGCCAGGTCAGGCCCCCAGCCAGGGGTGTAGACACGCTTTATAAATGGGGAAAGGCCTGCTTCCTGAGTTGGAGGCTGAGGGGATGGAGGGTGCAGCCTTAGTACTGGGCACCTCGGTGACATACATCACACCCATGCCCCGCAGCCTACCCTGTGCGGTGCCTGCTGCCCAGTGCCCATGGCTCTTGTGCAGACTGGGCTGCCCGCTGGTACTTCGTTGCTTCTGTGGGCCAATGTAACCGCTTCTGGTATGGCGGCTGCCATGGCAATGCCAATAACTTTGCCTCGGAGCAAGAGTGCATGAGCAGCTGCCAGGGATCTCTCCACGGGCCCCATCGTCCCCAGCCTGGGGCTTCTGGAAGGAGCACCCACACGGTTAGTGGCAGCAGCAGTCCTGCAGGCGAGCAGGAACCCAGCCAGCACAGGACAGGGGCTGTGGTGCAGAGAAAGCCCTGGCCTTCTGGTGGTCTCTGGCGGCAAGACCAACAGCCTGGGCAAGGGGAGGCCCCCCACACCCAGGCCTTTGGAGAATGGCCATGGGGGCAGGAGCTTGAGCCCAGGGCCCCTGGACTGGGTGGAGATGCCGGATCGCCAGCGCCACCCTTCCACAGCTCCTCCTACAGGTAAGGCCCACCTTCCCCAGGTAGACGGGGGGTTAGGACACCCAGGCCAAGAGTGCGCCAGTTGGAGCTAAAACCTGAAGTCAGCCGGCCCTCCCTCCCCATCCCTAACTTCTGTTTCTCCTGAGAGCCCTGCCTGGTGGGCCTTGTTGCCATCATTCTATGGATGGAGAAGCTGGGGCTTCAGAGACTTGAGGCTACTCTGATGTCTAATAGACATCTGTACAGATGGGGGATCCGGGGTTCTCCATCAGAGCTCACCAGTATACCCTGGGGCCTGTCTGGCCGGAAAAGCTTATTGGCTTCATGACTTTTGGCAAGTCACCCAAATTCTCCAAGCCTCAGTTTCTTGACCTGTAAAATGGTGGCATTACCTCCTGCCCTGTGTACATCCCAGGTGTGGGCTCTCGTCAAGATGACTCTTGGGACTGGGTCATATTAATGAGGGATTTGGGAAGGTTAAAAACAAAATTAAAAACATTGTGTTCCACATGGGTCGAGCGTGTAGTTTAGCCCCCACATGAACCCAGTGTGTGCCATCCCTCCCGACCACTCCCCACCCCCGGGCTTTGCACCTACCTTGTTGCCGCTATAAGAACAAGTTGAGGCAGCAATGCATGGGGGCCCCGGGGGCAAGTTGGGGAGGGTGGATTCCTGAATCCATGGGCTTCTGGGGTTCTGCCTCCCATAGGGACCCTCTAACCCCGAAAGTGCCTGTGATAGGATGGGCCCCAAGCTGTCTGCGTGGAACACACTGCTTAGGGGGTTCTGGTCCTGGCGCTCGCGCCAGTCAGCAGATCTTCCCACCTCTCCAGGATCAGCTTGGCAGGTGTGGAGCCCTCCTTGGTGCAGGCAGCCCTGGGGCAGTTGGTGCGGCTCTCCTGTTCAGACGACACTGCCCCGGAATCCCAGGCTGCCTGGCAGAAAGATGGCCAGCCCATCTCCTCTGACAGGTGGGTGACAGTCCCCCACCTTCCCTGACCGGTGTGTGACAGCCCCCCGACCTCCTCTGACAGGTGTGTGTGACAGCTCCCCCACCTCCTCTGACAGGTGTGTGTGACAGCTCCCCCACCTCCTCTGACAGGTGTGTGTGACAGCCACCCCACCTTCCCTGACAGGTGTGTGTGACAGCCCCCCGACCTCCTCTGACAGGTGTGTGTGACAGCCCCCCGACCTCCTCTGACAGGTGTGTGTGACAGCTCCCTCCACCTCCTCTGACAGGTGTGTGTGACAGCCCCCCGACCTCCTCTGACAGGTGTGTGTGACAGCCCCCCGACCTCCTCTGACAGGTGTGTGTGACAGCTCCCTCCACCTCCTCTGACAGGTGTGTGTGACAGCCCCCCGACCTCCTCTGACAGGTGTGTGTGTGACAGCTCCTCCACCTCCTCTGACAGGTGTGTGTGACAGCCTCCCCTGAAGCATTCCCCCAGGCTCGCTTGGGGTGGGAGGGTGCCCTGTGGACTCTGATCTCCTCTGGCAGGAGCACTGAGGCTGAGGGAAGACTCACTGTTGACTTTGTGAGCCCAGAGCTCACCCCCACACCCCCCCACTCAGGCACAGGCTGCAGTCCGATGGCTCCCTGATCATCCACCCCCTGCAGGCAGAGGACGAGGGCACCTACAGCTGTGGCAGCACCCGGCCAGGCCACGACTCCCAGAAGATCCAGCTTCGCATCATAGGTCTCTGTCTCCACCCCATCCACCAGTGCATTCTCAGGGGCCCGAGTGGGAAGGCCAGGATGGGGCGCCTACGCGAGGGCTGCCTCACGCTAGAGGGACCCAGGGTGTCTCCCTGAGTCAATTCCTTGTGCTGGCAGGGACCACCCTGTAGCCCTCATTTCTCCACAAGTCCCTGCTGGTCTCATGGCCCACCCTCCCTTCTACTCCCTTTTCCCCACAGCTCACACCTTGTTTCTCCTGGCCTCATGACAGGAAATGACATGGCCGTGCTGTCTGAGGCTGAGCTGAGCCGCATCCCTCAGCCCAAGGACCCAGGTCAGGACTTCGGCCAAGCGGGGGCTGCTGGGGCCCTGGGGGCCATCCCCTCTTCACACACACAGCCTGCAAACAGGTAAGAACTCAGCAATGCCATCTTGCCCTCCCCCATGCCAGGGCCAGGGCTGGGGGTCTCAGTGGGTGAGGAGGGGAAGGTCTGCTGTGACCAGGCCTTGCTGGCCCCTGCTCAGGGCTCTGGGAGGCCAGGCCTAGAAAAACAGGGTTCCTAGAGCTGGGCCTGTTGAGGAGGAAGCTTCTGGGAATGGTTCCACAGGCTCAGGACTCAGGAACTGAGGAAGGGAAGGGCACACAGAGCTAGAGGGCCTGAGCCGGCTTCTTTGGGGAGCGTCTTGAGCTGGCCTTGAGGAGTGATTCAGTTTACAGGGGGGATGTGGAGGACCGGAGGGGTGCCCAACTCGGAGACCTAGTGGCAAGTGTGCAGGGTGGGGGGTGACAGATGGGGATCCTGGCTGGTGGGTGTGTCTGGCCAGCCATGGTGGATGGGCAGGGAGTGGTGGTGGTGGGGAGGCAGCTTTAGACTTCACCCCAGGTAGTTACTGAGTTTCTAACCAGAACAAGGCAGGGGATTTTAGGAAGCTGAATCTGGCTGGAGAGGGAGAAGGGGCCACCAGGCTTGTGCAGAGGTCCCCATGGGAGTGGGCGGGGGCAGCGGCAAGGGCCCCTCATGCTGCGGGCTGCTCGTTTGGCAGGCTGCGTTTGGACCAGAACCAGCCCCGGGTGGTGGACGCCAGTCCAGGTCAGCGGATCCGGATGACCTGCCGTGCCGAAGGCTTCCCGCCCCCAGCCATTGAGTGGCAGAGAGATGGGCAGCCTGTCTCTTCTCCCAGGTTTATTTGACTCCTCTCCCCTTCCTCCTATTCTGCCTCCAGCCCCACCTTGTCCTGTGGAGGCCACCGGGGAAGGGAGCTGCTGGGCATCGTCATGGCCAGTTCTCAGCTGGACTCCAGGGCCTTTCGAGAGATGGAGCAGCTGGGCAAAGGGCTCCTTGGGTTGGCTAACATTTGAGTCTCTGGGCCTTTCCAGAATGTGGTTAGTGGACAGAAATAAGAGGCCAGTTAACAGAGGTGATGGCGGAAGGAGGAAACGGAGCCAGAACACATTCCCAGCTGTAATCACAATCGCTACCCTTTACTGAGTGGGCACTGAGCGTGAGGCTTGTTCCTATCACGTAACCTGCAAAAAAGTCATATTGATCAGGTGCTGTTTTTCCCCCATTTTACACACAGAAGCTTAACATCACATAGCTTATAAGCAGCAGAACCAGTATTTGAGCCCACTAAATAAGTATAGCAAAAACTAGAAACCCAAATCGAAATTTTGTTTCAGAAAACTTGAAATGGTTTATATTGCGAAGCTTAAAGGCCAGACATTTTTGGCCGGGCGCAGTGGCTCACACCTGTAATCCCAGTACTTTGGGAGGCCGAGATGGGTGGATCATGAGGTCAGGAGTTCAAGACCAGCCTGGCCAAGATGCTGAAACCCCATCTCTACTAAAAATACAAAAATAGCCAGGCGTGGTGGCACATGCCTGTAGTCCCAGCTACTCGGGAGGCTGAGGCAGAATTGCTTGAACTCGGGTGGCAGAGGTTGCAGTAAACCGAGATCACACCACTGAAAGCACCAGCAGCTGCAGGTGTAAAGTCTGAGGCCAAATGGTCCTTTCATCAGACCCCACCAAACACTAGGGGATGTTTAGCCTCTCACCAGGGACCTGGAAGACCTTGTGTTCCCTCCCTGACCCCATGCTCGATGGACAGAGCTGGAGGAGAGGGGAGGCTCCTTGGGCTGGAGCCAACTGGCTGTACTTGGTCCCCAGACACCAGCTGCAGCCTGATGGCTCCCTGGTCATCAGCCGAGTGGCTGTAGAAGATGGCGGCTTCTATACCTGTGTCGCTTCCAATGGGCGGGACCGAGACCAGCGATGGGTCCAGCTCAGAGTTCTGGGTAAAGTGGCAGTCCTGAGTGGCCTTTGAGGTCAGGTGGCATGGGTAGGGCAGGATCTTCATAGTGGCTGACAATGACTTGTCCTTGTGCCCAGGGGAGCTGACAATCTCAGGACTGCCCCCTACTGTGACAGTGGCAGAAGGTGACACCGCCAGGCTGTTGTGTGTGGTAGCAGGAGAAAGTGTGAACATTCGGTGGTCCAGGTAAAGGCTCTATTCCAAGCCGTCCCCACCCCCAGACCTTCACAACTTCTGGTGTGGATGTCTGCCTTTCTGCCAGGGATGTCAGTGTCACCATTGCTTCCATTCCGGCTTCCAGGCCTGGTGCCAGGGGACAGGGCTGCAGCACCCTCATCCCTACAGAGCGAAGCTCTGTAGGGCCACTGGCTCTCTGCTGGTTGGGCTACACTAGGGTTTCCTAACCTCAACACCACTGACAGTTTGGAGCTGGTAAGTTTTGGTTGCTGAGGGCTGTCCTGTGCTTTGCAGGATGTTTAGCAGCATCCAGGGCATCTACCCACTAGACGCCAGGAGCACCCTCCCCAAAGTCATGACAATAAAGAATGTCTCCAGACCCACTGCCAAATGTCCCCTCGTGGCAAAATCTCTCCTGGGGCTGTGAACCATTGGACTACACTCAGCTTTGGGGACTTCAGTGGTCTTTTACCCCAGATCAATCGGTTTTATATTTGTCCGTTCATTTAGTAGACATTTTTTGCCCCCTCCCTCCCTGTAATGTGTCAGGACTAGGCTAGGTTCTGGGAATCCTGGGGTCACCTGAGCTCCAGGGTACTCCTGGGCAGATGGTCCAGCATCCCAGGAGCTCCAGATGTGTTTTGCTGTAAGTGCCCTCTGTGCACAGAGGAGTGTCAAGGAAGGGGGGGCCAGGAAATGACTCTGGCTGCACTGTAATAGCTAAGGATGGCAAAGGATGTTCTTGGTAAAGGAAGCAGCAAGTGCCAAAGGTGGACACTGAGAGGACACCAGGATGGGAACCGGCCAATGCACTGGCCAGGAGAGGTGATGGGGTTGCAGAGGGCATCTGTGTCTTGTGTGGCCTCGAGCCCAGGGAAGGCAGTGGGAGCTGCTAGAGGTTTCCCCACTGGTGCGCTCAGTCCAGCCGTCCCCTGATCAGCTTGTCAGGCCTGCTTCTCCACACTGGCCTCTCCTGGATCTTTCCAGCAGCAAACATGCATAGAACTCCCCTCTTCACAACCACCTTCCATTGAGCCTCTATGTTCCTGCAGACCCTACGCTGACACAGTGTCCCCCTTACAGCTGTCCATGTTGATTGCCTCTGCCTGTTCATCTCCCTACTCACTTCTCAGGGCCTGCAGTGGGGCCGCACATCAGCCCCTGCTCCAGGACACTCTCCTGGCCAAGGTCACTGCCTCTTTCCCTAACTCCACTGGACACCTGGCAGTCTTGACGTGACCTGTAGTGTTGTTCTGCTTGCCGTATGCTCCTTCTTGAAATCCTCCCTTCCCTTGGCTCCAGGAACCACTGTCTTCTGATGTGCCTCAGGGCCTGTCCTTGGTTTCTTCCTGTGTGACTTGGATCACCTCATAGACATGCACTTCGCTGAGTCAGTGCGATGCTGACACACTATCTGGGTCTGGACTCTTGAGCTCTACACTTCAAATCTGAGGCCTCCTGCTATCTCACAGGCACCTCAAATTTGAAATAGCAGAAAAGAACCTCACCATTCACCCCAGCCTTGGATCGCCCAAGGTTGGAGGGGCACCACCGTCACCCAGTAACCCGCTTAAGCTAGAAACCTTGGTCATTTTTTATTTCTCCCTCTCCTCCACCTCTTTGCCCTCAAGGGGTGGGAATGGTTGACTCTAGAATGGCCTTTGATGACCTCTTCCCTCTGTCTCCCAGGCCTCCAGAGGCCCTTGATAGCTCTCCCAGTGTCCTCTCTCCTCCAGGAATGGGCTACCTGTGCAGGCTGATGGCCACCGTGTCCACCAGTCCCCAGATGGCACACTGCTCATCTACAACTTGCGGGTCAGGGATGAGGGCTCCTACACATGCAGCGCCTACCAGGGGAGTCAGGCAGTCAGCCGCAGCACCGAGGTGAAGGTGGTCTCACCAGGTAGGAAAGGTCTATATCTGGGGATGGGAAGGGCATTCCCCTGTATATTTACTGGTTCTCGAGGGCTGGTTCTGCAGTCTGAGGGACTCTGGTTTGAATCCTGGCTCACCCTGCCAGTTGCTGGTAGTGTGACTTGGGGCAAGGGGCTTACCTTCCTGAGCCTCATTTTCCTACTCTCTACAGTGGGACTGCTCTACCACCTGAGAGGGTTGTAATGGAGATGAAGGAAATGATGCTCTGCTGGGCCCCTGGAGATAGCTTAATAGACATTAATGCATGCAGGACATTCAGACTCACCGATTTTGAGACATATGGCTGCCTGGAATTTCATTATAAAACTTAAAACTTAAGGCAGACCACTTAAAATCTGTCCACTGTAATCAGGGTGGCAAAAAGATGGTTCTGTGACTGAAAAGTGCCTTTATGGCCATTTGACCATATAACCCAGAAAGGAAAAGGCAGGGATTATCACCACTATTTTACAAAAGAGACAGGTATGCAGAGAGCCTAAGTGGTGTTTCCACTGGTCACACAGCAAATGAGGCCCACCTGGGACTAGAGCTCCTGTCTTTTGACTCCCCATGGTTTTTTTTCCCCCACGAAATTACTATACTTGTACCTAAGTGGCCTCTTACTTGCATCATTTGATATTTGATATTGTAGCCTTACCTCCTCTAGCTACTACTCTATCATACTTCAACAAATCCAAATTGCCTGTAAGATGCATTACCTTTGTACCAAGAAAAAAATACTGCCAATGAAATGACACAATTCTGATACCATCAGTTAGGATGCAGACCAACTTGAGAGATGTGAAAATAAGTCCACATCAGAACTGATGAAACAGACTGTGGCTCAGTGTTCATACTTACAAGAGATATGTTCAAATAAGCAAGAGGGAAAGGGGGAAAGGGCTTTGCTCACCCCCCAGCCTGTGCTTCCTTGTGTCCTTGGTTTTTGTTCACTGAGGGACTGAAGACAGAGTGGTACCTCGGGCCAAGCTGCCAGTTCTCACAGGCCTGATACAAGCCTTGGTGGAGTGTGCCAGGGCCCTTCCTGCCTGGTCTTCTGGGCATTCCTGACAATCAGGGCTGTAGCGCCATGCCAGGAGCATGGCTACACTAAGAGGGGCAGGCCTGGCTGCCTCCTGGCTGCCAGGCTGAGGGTGGAGACTGGCCAGTACTAGAAGTTGAATGTGGTTGAAATGTTGCTTTGTGAGTGAGACTGACTTGTTGGCTTCCTGTCTATGGTCTCTTTAGGCAGCAGTTGGGATTTGCCTCCCCAGGGCCCAGCTCAGTGCTTGGCATCACTAGGTGCTAGTGTTGTGGCAGGAAACGGTACCCAGCGGGTTCTCACTTGTTGCTCGAGCAGGAGGGAGGGTTACAGGGTTCCTTCCTGCCGCTTCGCCAGCCCGCCGCCTGGACCTCTGTCCTGGGCCTCGCTTGGCCCACGGTCTTGCTCCGCCCACTCGGCCCCGCAGGCTGTGCTCCGCTGGCGCTACCTGCCCGGATCCACGCCCGTGGCGGCTCCGCGCTGGGTGCTGACGTATAGACAAGGAGAACAGGGTGGCGCACTCGGAGATGCCAGCAACCGCGGAGCCCCAAGGGGGTGTTACAGGGGCAAATGTTCCCGCCGCTCGCAGCTTGGTGAACGGGAGCGTTACAGCCCGTTCTTCCCTCCATTCCCTCCTGCTTGCTGAGCTACAAGAGCCGCCACACTCAGATACTTGGTGACTAAGTGCCTGGCTGCACAATGATGGAGTAACCTTGGCAGAAGCACCACACTCCAGGGACTACTTTTCACCTGTATCATGTCCAGAAGGTTGACCTTGTCTACATAATAACCAAATCAAGGCTCTGAGACAAAGCAAAATGCAGATTTCACATCTTTTCACATCTCTGAAGTTGGTCTGCATCCTAATTGATGGTATCAGAATTGTGTCATTTCATTGGCAGTGTTATTTTCTTGGTACAAAAATAATGCATCTTACAGGCAATTTGGATTTGCTGAAGTATTCACAGTGAGAGAACTGTTAAGAGGATCTAGACATTATGTTTGCGATGAGCTCCAGATGGGATTATATGGAAAAAAAAAAGAGAAACTTGCCTGATACCTGGTCATCAAGCTGAAATGACCTGAGATGTGTGCCCAGATGAGACAGACATGGCCTCAGTCTGGCCACTGTCTTCCGGTCCTCTGCTGGCTGCTCTCACCTGTTCATTTTTTGTTGGGTCACATGGCGTGAGGCTGCCTAACCCTGCCCTACTCGTGGTTGGGTGGCACATTGAATTTCAGTGTTAGCACCAGGGTAGGAGGCCTTGGGGTAGTCAGGCTGAGGTAAAAGGGACATAGCTCTACTGGGAGGACTTCTCAACATCACTGTGAAGTAGGTGCTATTGTTAGTCCCATTTCACAGATGAAGAAATGTGCATAAAGGGCTTAAGCAACTTGCCTAGAGTTACCCAGCTGGTAAGTGGCAGAGCCCAGATTGAGCCCAGGCAGTCTGGGTCCAGAGCTGGTGTGTTTAATCACTATGCTGAGTTCCCTCTATGATAGGTCTTGGGCTGTACCAGCTCAGACAGAGTTGATACCAAAGTTAGATTTTTAGAAACAATATGCATTAATGGCTTTGTTATCTATATAAACTTAGGTAGGTAATATTCTGGTTATACCAACATACCAAACCTTTGTAAGGTTGTTTGCTGCTAGGTACAGTCTTTTAGCGGTATTTTGTGAGGAAACAAGGGGAGAGAGGAGAAAGATAAGCTTTCTCTGGCTGCCTGAGGTCTGACTTCAGGGAAGATACTGCTCTGGTCTAAGTCAGCTGAGTTTTAAGAACTCCTTTCAGAAGAGAGATGAAGCAGTAGAATGAAACTTTTTTTTTTTTTTTTTTTTTTGAGACAGTCTTGCTCTGTCACCCAGGCTGGAGTGCAGTGGTGTGGTCTCAGCTCACTGCAACCTCTGCCTCTGGGGTTCAAGCAATTCTTCTGCCTCAGTCTCCCGAGTAGCTGGGAATACAGGGGTACGCCACCATGCCTGGCTAATTTTTGCATTTTTAGTAGAGATGGGGTTTCACCATATTGACCAGGGTGGTCTCAAACTCCTGACCTTGTGATCTGCCCGCCTTGGCCTCACAAAGTGCTGGGATTACAGGCATGAGCCATCACACCCAGCTGAATGAAACCCTTAATAGGGAGTTATGAGATATAGATGTTCCTAGTAAGTACAGAGGGAGATAAAATAAGGGCTTTGTTCTCAGTATAGCATTAGAGCCACCGTTAAAAGGACTGTTTTCCTATTATCTTGTCTAATATGCATTGCTTCCTCTGGGGAAAGTGAAAAACTGGAATGATGAGGACCCAGGTGACTAAGATAAGCTGGTGACATTGAAGGGACAAAACTTTGATGGCTGGAGGAACCCAGCAGAGAAAGGGAAAAGATAAGAGCTCTTGCTAACTCAAAATTTTACTTGGGGCTGATCCTACCTGCTCTCCCAATCCAGAGGCCAAACCAGTTGTCATTTAGTAATTCAGGTCTCGAAAGTAAGGAGTTAACTTCAAGAGATGTTTAATCATCCAGTCAATAAATATTTGGGAGTCTAGGAAGAGCTGTTCACTGGGCTGAGGCCACTAATAATAACGGGAGGACCACTGCGTGTTGAAGTGAGGTCAAAAAACAGGTAGAAATCATCATCCCTCATAGAGTTTGTACGTATGGTTGTTAAAAGGTTACAGGGTAAGTGCACTTCATTTTGAATCGGGCAGATACAATGCTGTGTTCCTTTGAGGAAATGAAATGGCAGGTGAGAATTTTCAGCATACACAGAGCTTCCTCACCACCTTCTCTTTCCCCCGTTGTTCTGCAGCACCCACCACCCAGCCCAGGGACCCTGGCAGAGAGTGCATCGACCAGCCAGAGCTGGCCAACTGTGATTTGATCCTACAGGCCCAGCTCTGTGGCAACGAGTATTACTCCAGCTTCTGCTGTGCCAGCTGTTCACGTTTCCAGCCTCACGCTCAGCCCATCTAGGGATGAAGGCTAGTTCCAGCCCCAGTCCAAAATAGTTCATAGAGCTGGGAAGAAAGGAAGATGGACTCTTGGCTTCCTCTCTCTGGCTGGCAAAGGGAGTTATCTTCTGGAATACATTGGCTCTTTCAAAAACCCACCCAGTATTTAGCCACAACAGCAGCCAGTACCAGCTTCCCTCTGTAGCCTTCAGCAGTGTTTACATCTCTGACATAACCACAGGCTGCTGTCAAGAAGAGCAATCTGTTTGGATAAGAATAACCTTTACTTTACAGCTTCCCTTTATAATTTCTGTTACACAGGAATAGTTCAATGCATTTGTTTGTTTTTTGAGACTGAGTTTCACTCTCGTTGCCCAGGCTGGAGTGCAATGGCATAATCTCAGCTCACTGCAACCTCCGCCTCCTGGATTCGTGATTCACCTGTGTCAGCCTTCTGAGTAGCTAGGATTACAGATGCCTACCACCACGCCTGGGTAATTTTTGTGTTTTTAGTAGAGACGGGGGTTTCACCATGTTGGCCAGGGTGGTCTCGAACTTCTGACCTCAGATGATCTGCCCACCTCAGCCTCCCAAAGTGCTGGGATTACAGGCATGAGCCACCATGCCCAGCCATCAATATATTTTTTGATTTTTAATTTTTTTTTTTTTTTTGAGACAGAGTTTCACTCTTCTTGCCCAGGCTGGAGTACAATGGTGCGATCTTGGCTCACCGCAACCTCTGCTTCCTGGGTTCAAGAGATTCTCCTGCCTCAGCCTCCCGAGTAGCTGGGATTACAGGCATGTGCCACTATGCCTGGCTAATTTTGTATTTTTAGTAGAGATGGGGTTTCTCCATGTTGGTCAGGCTGGTCTTGAACTCCCGACCTCGGGTGATCCACCCGTCTCGGCCTCCCACAGTGCTGGGATTACAGGCATGAGCCACTGTGCCCGGCCCATCAGTGTGTTTTAAAGTTAGCTGTCAGGGCTCCACTTAATTTAAAGCTGGACAGGGAGATGTGTAATGATTTCAAAGTTAACACCTGTTTTTTAAGGGGCATGCTAACTCTTGCTGTATCAGGGAAGTATTCTGTGCTACAACCAGCCGTGGTTCCTTGCTCTAGTCTCTCTCACCCTTCTAGGCAGTGCCTCAGTCAGCTCTAAATCCGGTGCAGAGGGTTAACTGCATAACCCTTGTTGGCAAAATGGAATAGATGTAAGACCTCAAACAGGGATTTCTGATGAGACAGCAGCAGTTAGCACTGTTATCTGAGCATGAAAGAACTAGAAAAGCTCCTTACGTCATCGAGATGTTGGACCTTGAAGCCCTCCTGAGGCCAACATGCAAATCTGGCTGTGAAGGTTCACCTGCACCTGTATAAAGCTGACCAGCCTGCTCTGTACAGTGACAATGAGGAACCCCTCTCTTCCTTAAGTAGGAATCTGTGAAGCAAAATGTTTGCTGCCAGAGAAAAATCAGACTGTCATTAAAAACAGCATTAGCAGGATGAGGATACGAATGGGGAAGGGTGGTGGGCAATGCAGTAACAGGGAAATGGTTTCAGAAATGGTTTGAGTTGGAAGACAACATTCTTCATCTCTCAGGACCTCTAATTCCTTGATGCTAAAACAAGAAGTATGGATTCTATGAGCTTCCAAGTCCCTTTCCACTTTAACCGTCTACAAATTTTCCAGAGGACTGCCTAGTAGCAAAGGTTATTCCTGGACACAGGAAAGACAGGCATTACAGGGACCAAAGCTCTGAAGGGTGACTTTTATTACCAACACACTGGCTGGAAAAGGGACAAACCACATCATGGGTGAGTGACACTTCTCAGTCTGCTACTACTCATTCAACAAAGGAAATGTGGGCTGGGGCAGAGGTCTTTTTTCATTTAATACTGGAAAAATACTGAAGAGCATCCATGTTCACTTATGGCTGGTTTTGCTATAGAAATTGGAAAATAAAGGCCACTTTCTTGGACTCCCCAGTTTAATTAAACCAGAATTTGGCCTATTGGTATAAACATGTCAGAAGGTAAGTTTGAGATCAACTAGCAGCTAACTAGTTCTAATAGAACCAGTCACAGAATAGTGGGCTAAGATTAGAGGTAAAACTCATTCTAGGCCAGTGGTTCTCAACTTTCTACCATATTGCAAGCTTAAAAAAATCCAAAACACAACCTGGGGGGCCCCCCTGCCCCACTAACATTTTGATTTAATTGGTCTGGAATATAGGCCAGGCGTTAGGATTTTAAAACAGTATCTTCAGGTGATTCTACTGCATAGCCCAGGTTGAGAGGCACTGCCCCAGTCCTGGGGTGCGGCTGAGACTCTGCATGTCTAACCAGCTCCTAGGTGACATCCATGCTGCTGTTCCAGACCACACTTTGAGCAGCAAGAATCTGACTTTAGAGATGATACACTCAGGATTAACTTAAGCTTAAAGTATGAATGAAAATATGAATCTTAAGGGTATTTTTCTAGTCACTAAACTAGGGATTTGCAGCAGCAGTAGAATGGAGAGAGAGACCAAAAGAATGAAAAGTACATTCATTTACTAATAAAGGAAAGGGGAAAGAATAGCCCTTCATGGGCAAAAGCTTCTACCACGAACGTTTATTTTTGTTAAAGCAGATTATAAATTTTCATCAGTACAAATATATATAACTTACATTTGATTGTAAGGCCAACGTTCAAAAGTAAAAATGAGATGGGCTCTCTTATTGTTATCCGAGGTCAAGAGGCTGCAACTGTCAAGGGGATGTTCTCACCGAAAGGGGGTTTGGGAGAAGAGGACACACACAAAGCTAATAAAACCAGAATCCCCATCCCCACAAAACTCATGGGAACAAAATTTAAAGGATAAAACAAAACCCATCAAGACCCATATTACAAACAAATATGGTAACCTGTGCTCCCTTCTATGGTATGATTATGTCATGTTACCTTAGTGTTAAAGGATTAACATAAGGAAATTGTAGCAATATATAAAAGATACATTCTCTATACAGCATATTTAGATTGATTCCATTAAAATAATGACATTAGAATTCCATCATAGGTTTAAAACCAGGACAATACTGCTTTTCCTTTATTTAAAAAAAAAACTACAACCTAATGACTGTATTGGTCATAAGCATGATTGTTGTTGCAATGTGCTACTTACAATGAAGTACAGAAAACAAGCTAGGGATCCTGTCTGCAGCTTCCAGCCTTTCCTCTTTTTACTTCAGTAGGCATCAATGATAAATCAATCTTATGTACAATTTCTTACAACTAACCCCTTTACCTTTGGCAAGATTACTTACAACTCATACAACTTTTTAATATCTGAGAACTATTTAAAATATTCTAAATGCATAAAAATAAAGATTTTGGCTTTTGATATACATAATATTTATTCTGTTACTCAAAATGGAAGCTCAACTTCTCCCCCAAAATATAGCTCTGCTGGGCAGTTGCTGATATGCCCTCCTGGGAATTCTGGCAGCAGAGCCTGCCTCTCTCTTCCCTAGCCTGAGCACAAACCACCCTGTTCTTTCTGGATTTCTAATACAGGCCACTACTGACGGGAGGCAGGTGAATGGCCTGAAAAACAAAGGGAGATTGCTTTGCTTCCTGTTGTGTTTTATATTTCAGTAAATGTGCTTTGAATATAGATTCTTGTTCAGATACTTTGCCTCTCTGTTACTAGAGATTTGTAAGGGGGTGAGGGAAGAAGGAGTACAGAAAGCAACATTTCCTTGACTACTTTAGCCTAATTGCAAGGCAGTTTTTCTCTAGGAATGCTTTTTCCCACATCTTTCAAAATCACCCCTCACAGTACTCTGGGCCTGGACTTGTTCCTTGGGACCTTTGGGATTAGTGAAAAGAGTACTAAGGAGACAAAGTCTGTTTTGCTCCTTTGACCTCTACCCCCTGCTCCCTGTCTGGTATGGACAAGATACACAGCCATAGGGATTGCTTAAAGTTCAATTTCAAACGTCTTCTGTAAGTCACTGGAGAAAGGGTTGGTAGGGGAGGGATTAGTACGCTGCTTGGACTTGTTTTCTAATGCAGCCCACTGGGCTTCAAAAGGATCCACCGGGCAGGTGCCTGTAGGAACCTCTGTATGCTTGTCTGCTGAGGCCAAGCTGCCATCATCTATACCATTGAAAGCTGCAGAACCGTTGAGGTGCTGAGCAGGAGGCTTAAAGAAGGGACTGGTGGTAGCACTGCTTGCCTCGTAGTGAGGGAATGTCTGCTGTCTGACCAGGCTGGGTGACTGATGGGGGTGGGCAGCCTGAGGGTGGCCTGCAGTGCCAAATACGTTGGCCACCATCTGGGAGGGCGTGATGCCCACCACAGGCACATTAGGGGCTGGATAGGGCATTCCATTGGCCACAGGATAAGACTGGGCAGGGACAAAGGCTGGCTGCAGGGCTGGGATTACACCCACTGGCACAGGCTGAGAGGTGAGGAATGCATTCCCTTGGAAAGGCGGTGCTGGCTGGGAGATGGCAGTGGGTGGAGGAGGCTGGAGAACTGGCTGCAGAGGAGCAGCTGATGCCTGGGGCTGCTGAGCCCGGACGCTCTTAGACACCTCTTCTAACCATCGGTCGGCCTCAGAGGGAGTACGTCTATGACCGGCCTGGAAGAGACCTGGAGAGGCAGCACCAGAAGATTGACCCCACTCGGTCCCTGGAACCAACAAGATGAGAGACAAAAGAATCCGTTAGGGGCATCTTTCCTCACCTTATTTGAATGATCCTAACATGTACAACATGTCACCCCAGTAGGACATTTTGTGGTTTTGATAGGTAGGAGGAAAGTCTATTACCAACTGGGATTTTGTGGTAGGATGAAGAAAACTTGTCAAGACCATGCTGCTGTGTCAGCCACACTGAAGCACTGTCTAGATATAGCTCAAATGCATTAAACCAAGGCAGCTGACTGATGTCAGAAACCCCTCCCTGTTGGTATGGCTCATCCACAATACAGAAACTAGCTGGTTGTGGTGGCTCGCACCTGTCATCCCGGCTACTTGTGAGGTTGAGGCAGGAGGACTACTTGAGCCCAAGAGTTCGAGGCTGCAGTGAGCTATGACTATGCCACTGCACTCTGGCCTGGGCAACACAGTGAGAACTCTGTCTTAAAAAAAAAAAAAAACAACCCAGGCGCGCCGAGGTGGGCGGATCACCTGAGGTCAAGAGATCGAGACTATCCTGGCCAACATGATGAAACCCCGTCTCTACTAAAAATACAAAAATTAGCTGGGCGTGGTGATATGTATCTGTAGTCCCAGCTACTCAGGAGGCTGAGGCAAGAGAATTGCCTGAACCTGAGAGGCAGAGGGTGCAGTGAACCGAGATACTCCGGCCTGGTGACAGAGCAAGACTCTGTCTCAGAAAACGAACAAACAAAAAAAACCTAGCTTGCACATCCTCTAAAGGGCCCAAGGCAATTCATCTTCTGCTCTCACAGAGCAAAAAGAAAATAACCAGTAATCTGGCCATATCTTGCTGGCCCCTGCCTGGCTTCCAGAAATATGTTGTCTTTGTGGTGAACTGCCTTTATTACTTATGTTAAAACCTTTTGAGGCCAGGTGTGGTGGCTCACACCTATAATCCCAGCACTTTTGGAGGCCAAGGTGGGTGGATCACGAGGTCAGTTCAAAACCAGCCTGGCCAACATGGTGAAACCCCATTTCTGCTAAAAGTACAAAAATGAGTTGGGCATGGTGACATGCACCTGTAGTCCCAGCTACTCGGGAAGCTGAGGCAGGAGAGTTGCTTGAACCCTAGAGATGGAGGTTGCAGTGAGCCAAGATTGTGCCACTGCACTCCAGCCTGGGTGACAGAACAATACTCCGTCTCAAAAAAAAAGAAAAAAATTTTTTTTGGTTATTATAATTAATAGATGTTTTTTATAGAAAAACTAGAAGGTACAAAAAAGCAAAAATGAAGTGCTTTTTGTAACACTTTTTGTAGGCCTCCTATTGTACGAGGCAGGGCCTCCTCTTTCTACAGGCATGTCTGCACGTCACCAAATCCAGTGATGGATTTTCTGAGGTGGGGCCCTGGAATCTGCTTTTTTTTTTTCTTTTTTTGAGACAGAGTATTGCTCTGGCGCCCAGGCTGGAGTGCAGTGGCACAATCTTGGCTCACTGCAACCTCCGTCTCCCGGGTTCAAGCGATTCTCCTGCCTCAGCCTCAAGTAGCTGGGACTAGACTATACGTGCATGCCACCACGTCTGGCTAAATAAAGACAGGGTTTCACCATGTTGGCCAGGATGGTCTCAATCTCCTGACCTCGTGATCCACCCACCTCGGCCTCCCAAACTGCTGGGATTACAGGCATGAGTCACCACGCCTAGCCGGAATCTGTATTTTATAAAAGCTCTACAGATGGTTTGGTTCCACAGTCCTAATGACTATCAGTCTGATCTCTTTTGTTCTCCTTCACCATCCTTATGTAAGCAGCTTATTTCCAGGAGGGAACGTAGGTTTCCTGAAAGGATTCCTCCCTAGTTCCCACTCAGCTAACTGGCTGAGTTTTAGAACCAGGGTCACTTATCTGATCCCAGAAATCCTCAACACCATCTGTGGCCACCTTACCCGAACATGTGGCTGCAATTTCCTTGTTAGCAGCATCAGGGGCATGGGCCCAAGGGTTGGTTTCACGCACAGGCATTGCTACGGGTGCTAGAGCAGTATGGGCTGGCTTAGCAGCAAGCACATGGAAGGCTGAGTCAGTGCCATTAGCTACAATGGGAGCAGACAACATCAATGGAGTTAATTCATGCAGGGTGTACAAGTGATCCCTTGGAGCTGCGTCAGTCAAGTGAATGTACAATACTGGTGGAATGGAGAGAGAGAAGAGTTGATATTTGGGAAAACCATGATATCTTGCATTGGATGTACATACCATTAGGCAAAGAAGGAATTAGAGGTTGTAATTTTTAAATGGTTGTATAGTAAAGTCAAATGACTGTCCTAGGAAAATATGTTCATGGGGAGAGGGGAAATGAAACCTACAACAACAATTTCAAATTAAGGTGAACAGAGCTGCTCTGTCTTAGGAGTAGCAAAAAATATCTAACTATTCTAAATATAGCTTAGCCTTTGGCATAATGAAGTAGGTACAGCATTTCCCTCTTCTTCACTTTTCCAAAAGGTCA